CATCCATCCATCCATCCATCCATCCATCCATCCATCCATCCATCCATCCATCCATCCATCCATCCATCCATCCATCCATCCATATTGGGTGGGGCAATGATACAGCACTAAAATGGTGGAATCCACGAGTACCAACAAATATAGCACCAATACCATTTTGAGGGCAAAAAGTTTATTCAACTATGGCCAACTATTCCTGGGAGGCAATAGAAAGGTATTGGATTCACTGTTTATTAGTCTTTTTCCTGCTTCACAAAGGTAGGCAGCAGCTTGACAAAGCCATGATGGCAATTATTTTACATCCAAGTAGTATGCAGTTCTTTATACACACACATACACACATCATTTTCAAACAGATGGTATCGTATCGGCCGATACTGCACAGCCAGGTATCGTATCAGGGCCAAAAAATGGCATTGGCGCAACACTAGTATGAACACGAAGCAAGTCACAAAGAGAAAGCCCTGGTTAGGCTGCGGGCATTACCCTGCACTTGACTTAACAGACATGCCAACCTTAGCTTGCACTGCTCTAAAAGGATAGGGGGTAATTATTCAGATTACACAGCGTACCTTTTAGTGTGTTTTGCCTAACTTAAACATTTTTTAAAAAGCTAAGTCAGTCTTTGTTTTGGTGTTGGACAGTGAATCTCTGTGCAACGCAACAGGTGGGGAAGGGACAGAATTGTGTTGTGAAGTTTTCTCTGTTTTGAAACAGGAAGAGTTTAAAACATTGGTCTGTGCACCAGTCTGTGCATTGGCCTGATTTGCTGAATCCATTTTGGCCCATTTTAAACTTATTTATAAGGTCTATAACACTCACCACTGTAGCTGTGTTAAACACTTTTTCTTCAAATAATTGAAATATTTAACATTAAATGCATATAGACATTCTAGATACCTTAAATTCCAGAAGTGTACAAGGCGGAACATATTAAAGGCCTCAACTGAATGAATGACAGGTTAAAGCTCCTAATGAACAGGATGCTGATCAGGGGCTCTCAAACAAGTCACCTTTGAATAGTGCAAATACATCTCAAAGAATCTGGACTGTTGTAGTCGATGTCCAACCTTAATTCAAATGAGGGGGTGTAGCAGGATAAAGAAAAAAATAATCCACTATTGCTAAACTAAGACTATTCTGCAAAGAGGAGTTGGCTAAAGATCGTCAACAGCGGTGTAAACATCTTTTTCCCAGTTAAATATTTTAATAGCCCCTACAGGTACAAGTGTGGCACAACCATGTTTTGGGCTGAGGGTGCAATAGTGTTAGGTTGTTTTGGACATTCTGCTTTTTTTTCTCTTGATACATAACAAATTGTATTTATAAATTACCTTCTGCCTTAATTCAGGTTACCTTGTCCAATATTAAGATTAGGTTGATCAAATATAAAGCATTTATGTAGGACAAAAAGTAAAAAGAAGAAATCTTTAAGTTGCCAATGTAAATATTTTGTCTGTATATAAAAGGGCCTTGCAGAAAACAAATTAACATAAATCTTTTTGCAGAACTTGTGTCAAAACACATCATCATTCTTAGTTTAGAAGTTTATAATCTGGAGAGCCCACTAAGCCTGCAGAGGAGGTGATTAAATAAACTGAAAAGTGAGAAAGGTTTTCATATTGTTAATTGCAACATATGGGTATTTTAATATTGTACACTGCATGCTCAGAACAATTTCATAAATAAGCTGTGCAACAATCCTGCTGATACTGGAGGGCTCACAAACCCTTTCTTAAATCTAATCTTTTTGACATTTATGACACCATTTAGACATTTAGCTCACCCGTTAGTGTTAACTACCATAGCTTGGTAACTGCTTGATGAGGTGTTTCCCAAATAAGATACCTAATAGCCTTCACACACAAGAGTCATTAAATTAGCAATCTTGCAGGAGCCTGAAGCTATTTAGCTTATTTCCTTTCTAAGCAACATGGCAGTGGAGCACAATAAAGTCTCGGATTTGTACTGATGAAATAGTGTATAGCAGGAGCAAATATCACCTATTTTTTTCAAAATCTTTTTGACTGCAGTGTCACAGTGTTAGAGTGCAGGGTGTGAAATACACTTAGAATATGCATGTCAAAATGTTTACTGAATGTGGAAAAATGCTACTTAAAACTTATCCATCTTCTGTTGCAGGTAAACAAATAGTCTGATGCATGGCATGTGTCTGATATTTTCTGATCTGCTCTAAAGACACTGCTTGACAGTGGAGCTGGCTTTCAGAATAAATTTCAGCCTAAGCTGAATAACAACACTTAGCTGCAGTTTCCTTTTATTAACAATACCAACACTTTACCTTTAACCAAATTATGCTGTGTGAAGAATTCTACAAGTTTATCTCACTTATGCATATGCTTATTTAATGGCTCAGAGAGATAGCTCCCCTTAACTACCACCATCTTATTTGATAACACCATAGCAGGTACATTAAAAGTAGAGAATGCTGCAGCTGCAATGTCTTAAATTTATTGACAATTAATGGGGGAGTTACCAAAGAGTACTGGCACTTAAGCTTGAGAAGTCCATACTATAAATCTGTGTGCTGATAAGGATTGATTTCTTGGACAGTATTTATTTGGTTATATTCATATATATGTGTGATTAGATGAATGATTTCAATTTATATATCAAGATTTCTGTGTTAGGGCTGCTCAGTGGAACAGTGGGTAGCACTGCTGCCTTGCAGCAACAAGGTTGCGGGTTTGATTCCTGGCCTGGAGTCTTTCTGCATGGAGTTTGCATGTTCTCCCTTAGCATGCATGGGTTCTCTCTGGGTACTCTGGCTTCCTCCCACAGTCCAAAAACATGACTGTTAGTTTAATTGGCCTCTCTAAATTCTCCTTAGGTGTGAGTGTGTGAGGTTGTTTGTCTCTGTGTTGCTCTGTGATGGACTGGCGACCTGTCCAGGGTGTACCCTGCCTCTCGCCTGTAGACAGCTGGATATAGGCACCAGCACCCCTCGTGACCCCACTCGGGATAAAGCGTGTCAGAAAATGGAATAATGGATGGATTTCTGTGTTGTGTGGGGGGTTTGATGCAGTGTTCCTACAAATGTAAGATCTACAATAATGATGCCATTGAAGAAGTAGTTTTCAGTGTAACTCTTTGGTTTGCAGGTGTGTCCATCTATCAGTCTGCATTCACCTCAACTTAAATATTTTTTTCCGAAAACACACTCAGTTGATTAGGGAAGGTCCAAAACATGTACACTATCAGTAGCTCTATGTCGTGCAAATGCACTCTTGCTCTAAATATTTCAAGGTGTTGTCTAAGGGAAGAACATTAGACCAAAACAGCCATGGTGTCTTTAGTATTTGGAACTTAGCTTTGCCTTCAAGCACACACCTTTCCAAATAATAGAAGGACAGGCCAAAAAGTTTATTTATATAGCACATTTCAGCTGCAAGACAAATTAAAGCACTGTACATGAAGTAAAAAAAAAAGAAGCATTATAGGAAAATAACATTACACTGGCATAAAGATAATTTAAAAGAACAAACATTTATAATTAAAATGATAGGATTATAAAAATAAAAGTAAATGACTACTAACAAAAGAAAGGAAATAAGGAGATCCAAACCTAACTGACAGTGTTTAGAGGCACATTCAATTGCCACTCCCAGCAAATAAATTTCTAATATGGATTTACAGCACTGACTGCTTCTGCACTCTACAATTTTCTAGTAGTTTATTGTAGAACAGTAGGGTTTAAGAACTAAAAGCTGCTTCTCCATGTTTGTTTCTGGTCCTGGTATTACAGATTAGATTTTACTCATAAAACCTGATAAGTTTGGGTGATTCAGTGGCAAAAAGTCTGTAGAGCAGTGTTACAAAATTATGGTCCTTGAGGTGTGGTGTCCTGCAGCTTTAGATTCAACTGTAGTTCTGCGGTAGCAGCTCGTCTAAGTTACTCTTTTTCAAGATTTGTTCACCTATTTGCTATTTGTTAATTTTACAGCCTGGGGGAAAAACAGCTTACAAAAAAGACATAACTATTGCTGAGTTAAATCAGATGTTATGATAGACAGAGCTCAAATATTAACAAAGCTGCTTGTAAAAAGTAAAGACAGCAGGAAGAAGCACTTGGGTGTTTTTTTTTGTATTTTTGATGAAATGGGAAATTTTGACAAAAATATATTTCTAGTTGGAGATACATTTTGTACCACACTTGGTAGGGATGTACTGTACAGTCCATTTAAGAAGTTAGCATCTGAACTCCCTGGTAGAGTGGCGTTCAGATGCTGCAGTAACAGGAGGTTTGTTAATCTGTTAACCGTGGTAAATAAGGCGCAAGCATTACTAACGTTCCGAGTGCAAACTCAAAAAACATGTATCTTCCTGCACATATTTTTCTATAAGTATTGAAATAGGTCAAATTAACATGGTAGTTCATAAACAAAAAAAAAAACAAAAAAAACAAAAAGCCACTTAAACATTATGTGTATGAGAAATTTTAAAAGAAAAGAAAAGAAAAGCAGGGGGGCTCAACTTGACAACAAACCACAGATTCTGACAAGCAGTTTAAACAGTGTTATTCATATCAGAGATAAGCCTTTACTGTCTTGCTCTTTCAACTTTGTAGCTGAAAATCTTAAGAACAAAAAGAAAAATTAAACAGAAGTGAAAATTAGTCATAGGCTCACTTGTGTTCCCACTAATCTTTTTCTTTTCTTGTCATTTTGTATATTATTGCATTCTTTAGCACTCATAAGGCCTTTTTCTGTTCCCTCCTACATCTTTTAGTTTTTACCTCACACAGTTCTCCTTTCTTAATCCATTCAGTTTCTTTTCATCTCTTTCTTATCCACACTACAGACCTTATAAATTCAATCTCCTCTTGCATGTGTTCCTTTTGTCCTAATATTTCATTGGATTCAAATCAAACATCTTGTCATCTAACTAGGGGAAAGGCGTTTCCAAGTCGGTGTCCCTAAACTGTGGTCCATGTTCGGACTTACCTGTTGGCTTGAAGGCACTCAGCCACAGTGACTCATACACCTGGGCTGTGGAGAACAGAAGGTCTTTTCACAAGGATGGCAGCAACTCCTCTCTTGGCTCGCAGGAGCTGTCCTTTTCAGATATCTACCCAGAAGACTCTTCTCACTTGGAATCTCAGGTATGTAAAAACACCTATAATAAAGGAGGAAGGCGCTCTTTTTGTAAGAGACCAATTTCTTTTTAACACCTTCCAACTCAAAGCTACCAAATCATTTCTTCCTTCACCACAGTACCATCTGGAATGTCACATTTTATATTTGACTCTTCTTTTTTGATTATTTAAATAATGCCTGGTTGTAGTTGCATCAGATGATAGTTTTATTAGCTCTTATAAAGCTGACACTAACATATGGGACTCATTGTTTTCAGTACTGTACTCCTCCTCGTATCTCTCGCACAATGTCGATGGGTAGAAACCTTTCTGCTATTGCACATGAGGTATAGTGAACATTACATAGGAGGTTTTACTTTAAATCTACTGAAAGTTTTATTAGGTTTTCCTTCTCATTCGCTTGGTTTGTTTCCTCCCCTCCGCTTTGTTAGAGGCGTCATATTGAGATAATAGAGCTGACCAATGACGGGAAAGGACTTGGTTTTGGCATCGTAGGAGGACGAAGCACAGGAATCATGGTCAAGACAATCTTACCTGGAGGTGCAGCAGGATGGGTAAATCATTCCGTTAATCTAAAAACAACTAGAATGGAGTAAGTAAGGCTAACCTAAGGGGAAGACTACAAGAAAGTAGTTTACTTTGTCACGCACCACAAAATGCACTGGTAAAAAAATCTGTTTTGTGTATGTACCGAATGTAAAAAATCGTGTTTGTTGAAATTATTTTTTACAGGACGGTCGATTGCGTAGCGGAGATCAAATTCTGCGAATTGGAGATACAGACCTAGCAGCCATGAGCAGTGAAGAAGTCGCACAGGTACCAAAATCTAATAAATCATATCTACAGTGCCTTGCAAGAGTAACCATATCACTTCAAAAAGTATTAGCAATTTTCTATGCATATTATTGTAATTTAATGTTATAGACTGAGGGTAGGGCATGAGCGTGGAGTAATTTTGAGAGGGGACGGGGGGACATGTCCCCTGCACTTTTTAAAATGTTTGTTTTTTTCCCCTGCACAATTTACTGTCCAAAAACAATATTATGCTACAGTACACAGACAATCATCGAACAATAGGACCAAGCAGAAAACCACAGCTCAAACTGAAGCCCGTCTTTCTAAATTAAGACCACCCACAAAAACCTGAGTGGCCCACCTTCTTTTCTTGTGTGATTGGTTGTCACGGCTGTTACTCCTGAGAAGCTCACTTTACCAACAACTGATGCACCAGTGAATGGGGTCTGTGATTGGATAGCCAATCAAGCTGAATTTAGTTATGCTAAAAAATACTTGCCCCCCCATCATAATTTCGACCATTGGCATGAATTAAGTCTCTACTTGCTACTTGTCTCCAGATGCCTCGTAATTAGTCAGTGCAGTCCACATGTGTAGAAATTAATGTCAGACATATACAGTTTTTTTGCAAAGGCCCAAAAGGTTTGTTAGAGAATAATAGTGAGAAAAAAACATGAGAATCAAGAAACACAGCAGGCAGCAATATAGAAGATTAGGTTTTAAAAACAAACCCTTAAACCCCTTTTTTCCCATCAAGCAGCAGTAAAGGGTATGGCACAAGACAACTGCAAACCTACCAAGACATAATCTAACTGTGAAACAAAGGTGACAAGTCTTTAAGCAGCAAAGACGGTCATGGTAACTTCAGAGCAGCTTAAAAAAATCCATTGATCGTTTGGGAGAATGTGTTGCCATTATGTGGTGACTAGAATAAAGCCATTTTATTAACAAAGACATAGGATTTCCTGTTGAAAGGCGCCCTAAGTGCTCATTGAACATAGGCAACATGTGGTAACAGATGGTCTGTTTAAAAACTAGAAATCTACATTGACCACATTCTAATGAGTGGCAACTTGGGTGTTGGTGACACAAAGTTTTAATGCAACGACACACCAACCTTCAAGGGAAGCATGAGATTCCTCGTGTTTTGTCTTTATTTTGTCTCTTGCTTGGGCCAGATTTATGATGTCAATTGGATGACATTTTAGAGTAGTAGCCATTCCCCACTTTCCTTGGCTGGTCCTTTGAGATTCCTTTTTTAAACTTCAATCTTTGTACTAAAATATTCCTTCTGTCAGGATTTGTGGACATTAAGATCTAAAGAGAAGCATCTTCTCCTGGTCAACCTGTAATTCAGTGAAAAGGTGGAGTCAGAGTAAAAAAACATGCACCCCCAGGAGAAGGAGGGCGGTCACTCCAGTGGCTGGAAGTTTGCTTTTATTCTGCTGGAAAGTGCCATTTTGAATGGCTGCTACTGTAATATTTCATCATGTGTAGTTCATCAAGAGATAGCATGCATACATGTGCGCCCAGCATTTGATTGGTCACATGTGGAGTGCTGACAATCATTGCGCGGGCAGATTACAGGTGGTCTCTTTTCTCTCTTCTGCTTCATAGTGTAGTGTATATGCACATTCATTGCACACGTGAAAAATGTGACCCTTGTTGGAAGTTGCAGCTCTATGCACAGCGTGTGTTCTGCGTCTAGGGAGGGGCAGCCAGGACTATAATGGTCGTAGAAATACAGCCAGAGCTACAGGCAAATTGTTTATGTTAAACAATATTCATTTGTTGAAATCATTCAAATCCAACAAAGAGTTTGTGTCAATACTAGATTAGGCAACTGCTGTAAATAGAAACTCTCCATATTTTCAAGGCTTAGGTGTTTTACAAAGTTTAATTTGGGGAATATATTGTGTTTAAATCTCTGTTTAAGTCTCATGCAAAGCTAAGAGAGATAACCTGAGACTCACTGCTTTGATTGCAGTGAAAAGTTTCAGCAGGCAGCACAGTAGTGAATTTTACCCTTGCAGCAAGGGGCTCCTGGGTTCAAATGTATTGGCTAGGTACTGTCTGCATGAAGCTTAGGTTCTCTTAAGTCACTCTGACTTCTTTCCAGACTCAAAACAACCTTGGTGTTAGGTTAATTTATCCTACTGCAGGAGGCTTAACCTATGTTGCACTGACTACCTGTCCTGGTTTTACCCCACCTCTTGCCCAATGACAGCTGGAGAAAGGAACCAACATAACTCTACAAGCATTGTTTGTTGCTTTCAGATAAAATTCTATTCTATCTAAAATATATTGAGGAGGTTGTGATATAACAAAATGTCATTAACTGATTGAGGCATATGAAGACCTTGCAAGGTTCTGCAGTTCTTTATTTCCACCTAACCAAATGTCTATATTTAAAGTCCTTATCTATAAGGTGAAAAACTAAGGACTAGAAAGCATCTTGCAGCAAGTTTGAACTCATCTTCATTTCCGTTTGAAATAACAGTACTGCTGCAAATACAGAAAAATCTTTCTTCCTTTTTTTTATTAGCATGCTAACCAACATATTCATTTTAACTTATTCACAAACCATTACCTGGTCCAGGTGCTGCGAAATGCTGGCAACAGGGTGAAACTCCTTATTGCAAGGGATGTTACCAAACCCAATTACCTCTCCTCCCCTGCTCTGAACCAGGACAGCTCAGATGACAAGGTTTGTGTCTTTCTGCGATTTTCTATGTGTTTTTTAGTGATATTTCTAGCCAAAGTATTAAATGTTTTTTGTTTTATTTTCCCATTATTTTTTCACCTATTTCCAGCCCAATGAATCCAATAAGGAGAAAGAGTTCAGTGTCCAGTTTACTAAAAATAGCCGGGGCCTTGGCTTCTCTGTCTCAAGTTATGTAGGAGACCTGAACACAGGTATTTTAGCTGAGGCATATCAGAATTTCAAAATGGCCTGCAGACAATAAAAGAAAGCAAAAGTCACCCTTGAATTTAACTTTTTTTTTTTTTTCAGTCCCCAGTACCGGTGTGATGGTGAAGAGCATTGTAAAAGGCAGTTCTGCAGATCAAGATGGACAAATACGTGTTGGAGACATCCTCCTTTCTGTATGTTTTCTAAAAAAAAAAAAAAATGTTTTATTTAGTTTGTTTTACAGTAAACTGGAAAAACAAAGCTCTGATTTCTACGTTCAACCAAGCCCTGTAGCTTATTTCAGTTATTTGAAAAGGATTTTTCATAAATTTTGCACATTTTTTACAAGGGGAGTTGATTAGACAACAAACAGCTTCAGTTTTTACAATCGTTTCCCCACTATGTAGATAAATATCTGTTAACATGTTGAAGAGAAATTTAGAAAAATTTTTGTGAGAACCAAAACTCTGCTGAAAGTTAAACCAAAAAATACACAGATCAAAAAAATTACTGTCTGTGTTATATTAATGCTAATTAGTATTGCTGATTTACCAAAATGTCAGAGTGTACATATTAAAGCATGAGTGGACATTTAATAATGCTGATAATTAACATATATCCAGTTAACATACGTATCTTCTTATAACTTTACGTTCAATTTGAATGTCGTCTCATGTCGTAGGTGGATGGTGTGAACCTTCATGGCTGCAGTGAACAGCGTGCCCTGGAGGTGCTTAAAAAGACCGGTCCTGTGGTCAGACTGAAGCTGCTGAGAAAGGCCATCCGCCCTGGTCCAATCCTTCCCTCCGTTCCTCCTCTGCAACCCCTCCGACACTTCCACAGCTTCCATGAAGGCAGCCCTTACAAATCAGGACTCGGCAAGATTCAAGAGACAGGTGCTCTGCACTGATAAAAACAGACAGTGTATCTATTCCCGAGCAAATGAGAATGTGGAGGCTTTTACAGATATAAACCTGTGCAGCTTCCCCTGCTGAGGGATACTTTGATTGAGGTTTTCTGGTATCAGTTTAGACTCAGACTGAAGTCTAATTTTGGTGCTTCTTTGAGCAAATTATGACCTTTTGTACTCTGTGCATGAAAAGAAGGAAAAAAAAATAGATATTTTCTGATACAGGCATGACAGTGTGTAACACTGAGCTGATCCGTCCTTGTGTGCTAAAACGGTTCTTCCATCTCCCAGGAATCAGGTCTTTGCGTGAAATCTCCCGGCGAGCAGCATATGCCAGCAGACGACCCCAACACGATCCTAGAGAGGGTAAGCTTCCGTTTTCCGCACGGCACAGTGTGCAGAACCTACTTCATAGGACTCGGTCTACTGATCTGCTGTGGATCACAAAACAGCAATGCGCCACGAACCATGCTCTTTGATGGGACTCTATTTATAGTTCTGTGCAATCATGTGTTTATCCAGCTCATTCAGCTCATTCCAGATGATTTGTCTCTCACCCCGCCTGCATATATTACTTTATTTAGACAGAAGAAATTTTAGGGCCTGATTAGAGGCTGCAGACAAATAGGCAATGATTGCTGTTAGGCTCTAATAGATGAATCAGAAAGCAAAACTTTGTCAGGAAATCACAAAATGCTGAACGTGAATATAAATACCCTTTTGTGAGAGTGTGTATGCCTGTGCAAGGAGGATATATCGACACTCTTCTTTGCCTCAAGGAGAATTATGTTGTCTTCTCTATAATAGCACCAAGGTGATTTTTCATATAGGACCCCGTTTTTTTATTGATTGGTCCGTGTGAGCCTTTAAACAACGTGTGTATATAAGGGAGACTTTATGGATTCCTGTGTATGTGAAATATGGAGGATGTGCTTTTGTGTGTGCACATTTTAAAGGTGTGAAACTGGCTCCAGAAGAAGAGGAAAACCTGAGGAAGAGGTGGCAGCATGCAGTTGGACACCAATATGAAGTGATAGTAAGTCTTCTTTTTGAAAAGAAATCTTTACTGCTCTGGGCTTTAAAAACTGATTTACTTCCTGTTTCTAACTGCTTACACACTAAGCTAAAACGACCCTTTACATCTCAGCCCATCTTTCAACGCTTCTGTTTCCTGACATTTATGTCTTCCTTTTTTTCTCTTTGTAGGTCTGTCAGCTGGAGAGGTTCAGTGAGACAAGTGGTCTAGGTATCAGTTTGGAGGCTCGGGTAGGACATCATTACCTGTGCTCCATCTTACCTGAGGGACCAGTTGGCCAAAGTGGCAAAATCTTTACTGGGGATGAGATACTGGAGGTAATTCAGACATCGTCATCTGTTTAAGTCTCAGTTCCCCTGCTTATTCATTATCCATTTTATATAGGCAAAACAAAAGTTTCAGAGAATAAAAAAAATGAAGCAGTCTATCGATGTAGTCATTCACATGAACCTTTGTAATACCACAAACTCAAAGATAAAAAAATTTGGTTTTTGATTACACAAATGCAAACATGAGTTGTGCCAGGTCGTTATAAAACTGTTATTTAATGAATTAAGAGAAAATGAAACACAACAGCAAGCACTGGATCAGAGAGCAGGGCTTAAAGCATCACAGTGAGAACTACCCAGAGCAGATGGCCAATGGAAATGTTCAGTATTTAAGCTGTGTTAGTGATTGCTAAAGTAGGGGCATGTAGTTGATTGGTAATAAGGAGCCAAAGAGGAGGAAAACAAGAAAGCAATGGTCAAATAAAGATATTTTGGAGAATGACTCCTACACAGGGAATTGGTTGGACAATGAAACAGAGTACAAAACTATCAACAAATATAAGAAAAACAACAAAAATGAGAGAACATCAAGATAATTGGAAAGAAAACAAAAAAGAAAAGACAACACTCTGATTTTTTTCTAATTATGAGCATCAACTGGTATTTAATTTTAACTAAATATAAATCCAGCAATTTTGTGAAGAGACACATTACAGCAGACATATCAGGGAGAAAGTTGTCAAGAAGTTTAAAAGCAAGATTAGAACAGAGTGAGAAGTTGGAAAAACTAGCACAGCTGCAAACCTAGGGAGTATTGGCCTTGTGGGTTAGACCAGTGTGCATGTGCTCTGAGAAGGTTGCAAGTACCCAGTTTGATCTAGTCTCGTGAGACCATCCTGATCTCGCGAGCTTTCACTCGCTAATCAGTCTGGAGACTCTCCAAATTTGGAGCCGTTCACCAAACGAACGTCCAATCAGCGTTGGCATTGAGGCGGGTTGAGGTGTGACGCAACAAGAAAAGCGACAGTCAGTCTAAAGAACATGGCGGCTTCAGACGATGAAACTAGCGTTAGCGTGGCTATCGAGCAAGTTTTATCGAAATTACAGAGTATTTCTTCACTGAAAGAAGACTGCTCTGGAGGCTTTTCTCAGAGGAAAATATGTTTTTGCTCTTCTCCCAACTGGTTTCGGCAAGAGTATCCTGGCCTGTGGTTGTGTTTCCTTCGTCGGTCTGTTAGTACGTCATATGCTTCGTTGATCAATTGGTTTATTTGGCCCGTCTATCACCAACATAGGCCAATCAGCTAACCAGTATTTTCGCCCCTTCCCAAAATTACTGCAACGGAAGGTTTCCAGATGGATATGCGGAGCAAATCCATCTGGCGGAGTCAGGTTAAGTTTGATCCCCACAGCCTCCACTCTTGGTTCCTGAGCGAAAACCCCTCATTGCTCCCGGGGCACCGCACGATGGCAGCACACAGCTCCTCAAGGGGATGAGTTAAATGCAGAGTTAAATTTCTTCAGTGTGAGATCAATAAAGTTCAATTATTTATTAGAATTATATTTATTATTTATTTGCCTTAAAAGGTAGTGATCAGAATAGCAGACAATAGGCCCAAGCGGAGGAATTGTACGGTTGGAAAAAAAAATCTGTCACCACAAAACTACAGTATTTTTACTGCACTACAAACATTTGGTCCTTATGGAAAATGATAATGAAAAAGTTTAGAAGAAAAAGCTATACTGAGTTCTATTTAGACTTCTCACAGGTTGGAGGGTTGACCAAACATATTGACGAAGTATTGACTAATGGAGTTGAAGAACAAATGGATAAAAAAAAAAAAAAAAACAGTATTTTTTTCGTCTTCTAGGTAAATGGAATCCCCCTCATTGGACAGACACATAAAGAAGTGGTCAGTATTTTAAAAGAACTGCCAGTGCAAGTATACCTGGTGTGCTCCCGCATTGTCCCCCCTTCACTGCATGACAGTGATGAAGAAGGAAATGATGAAGTCTGCCTCAGTCTCAAAGAGCTACTGGCTGAGTTCAATGAAAAGGTGAGAGGGCAATCTGATAAAATATCATCCTTTGGTTCCTTTTTTAAAGCATTCTTTTAAAATGTCTTTGACTTTTGTTTAATACATTTGCACATATCTCTTTTGCTGTCTAAATTGTTCTCTCTCTCTCACTTCTCTTTGTCTCAGCTGGATCACGGCTGTGTCATTCCCTGTCCTACAGCTGAAGACATTACAAAGCGGGGTGTGCCCCCGATGTCACCTCCTCTGGCTATGTGGGAGAGAGAAGCCCAAGTCGTCGAGCTGGAAAAAGGCGAGTCGGGACTCGGCTTCAGTATCCTGGACTACCAGGTCAGCGGATATAATGGAGATGTGCTCTCTTTTATTTTGTAGGATACGATAATTTTTTTTTCTTTTATGTCTTAATTCTAATATGTACATTTTCTAGCACTCTTTTATCCTACAAAAAGTTATCTGTTAGAAAAATTGACTCACCTGCTTTTATTTTAAAAAGCAATTCTTGTTATTGCACCATTTACCTGCATTTGTCTCTTATTTTGTCATTAATCTCAAATTGCTCATGATTATCTCAAACGAAACATTCCTTTTGAACTTTCTGTATGACTTTAGGATCCAGAGGACGCCTCCAAAACAGTGTTAATAATCCGTTCCCTAGTTCCTGGTGGCGTAGCAGATCAAGATGGCCGCTTGCTACCTGGCGATCGACTAATGTTTGTTAATGAAACTGACCTAGAGGGCTCCAGTCTGGATTATGCCGTGCATGTGCTCAAGTCTACTGAATATGGACCCGTGCGCATTGGGGTTGCTAAACCCCTGCCGGTAAGTGAGGGTGAAAGAAAATACCTTTTCTTAAAAGAATACAGAATTCCACCAAAAACTATTTAACTTTTTTTTTTTTTTTTTGATAATTACACACTTTATTAAACAAAAATCAATATTTAGTTGACAAATTTAGAAATATGTTAAGCATTTTAGGAGTAAATAGAGTATCTTTAAGCAGTAGAATCAAAAACGTAGAAGTCATAATACAAATCTTTTCGCAAATGAAGCTGTTTTAGTAGTAATAAAACAAACCAAAAACTCAGCTTACATTTGAATTCAGTTATTCACCTTGGCTTATTCCAAACTCTAGAATCTTAACCAACTCTATGATTGAATCGCAATCCTAAATTGGTGTGAAATTCCCTTTTGGCAGATTATTACTTTTATGATGTTCTCTTTATTCAAGCAACACAAGCCGATATTATCAGGTTGATTAGTCAGACTTTTTTTCTCTGGTCACCTTGCTGTCAAGCTGCTTAACAGACATGCTGCTTGTCATCAGCTTATTAACAGAGATGGGTGGCCACCCTTTTATTTCCACACCCTGACTGACTGTGTTTTTCATTGAAGCAAAAAAAGTGTGATAATCTTTTTTTCAACAAGTTGATGGGCAGTGTGCAGCAACAGGAAGAGAAGACAGTTACTGTGTTCTCCATGCAGTCTAATCACTTCGGCACCCCCTCTGTCACCTTATTAACACTGTAAGCTATAGCAACTTTGTGACAGAAGTTCTTACAGATTTGTAACCAACCAAATAAAAGAAAAGTCTTACTGAAAAAGCTCTAATGATCATGAAGTTTCTACCACACAACAAGTAATATTAGAAAAGAGAGCGGCTGTTAGTTGAAAATAAAACTGCCAAAGACTATTTCTGAAAGCTGGTGGCTCATACAATCCCTGGTAAAAATGATGGAATCACAGGCCTCGGAGGATGTTCATTCAGTTGTTTCATTTTGTAGAAAAAAGCAGATCATGGTCATGACACAAAATAAAATACTTTCAAACGGCAACTGTCTGGCCTTAAGAAACACTAAAATAATTTTTTAAAAAGTGGTAGTCAGTAACGGTTACTTTTTTAGGCCAAAGAGAGGGGGAAAAATGATAGAACCACACAGTTTTGAGGAAAAATTATGGAATCATGAAAACAAAAGAACACTCCTACACATCACTAGTATTTTGTTGCACCACTTCTGCCTTTTATAATAGTTTGCAGTCTGAGGCATGGACTTAAAGTAATGAGTGATAAATAGTACTCCTCATCCATCTGGCTCCAACTTTCTCTGATTGTTGTTGCCAGATCAGTTTTGCAGGTTGGAGCCTTGTCATAGACCATTGTCTTCAACTTCCACCAAAGATTTTCAATTGGATTAAGATTTGGACTATTTGCAGGCCATGACATTGACCTTGTGTGTCTTTTTTCAAGGAATGTTTTAACAGTTTTTGCTCTATGGCAGGATGCATTATCATCTCGAAAAACATCATTCAATCACAAAAAGCATTTCAATTGATTGGATAAAAAAAGTGTCCAAAATCTTAACGTAAATTTGTGCATTTATTGAAGATTTTTGGCCATCTCCCCAGTGCCTTTACATGATTAGCAGTCCCATATTATCAATGACTGTGGAAAACCGCATGCTATCTTTAGAAGTCTCATTGGAACGGTACCAAGAAAAAGTTCCTGCATCACCACCTTGCCCAATGCAGATTTGAGATTCATCACTGAATATGACTTTCATCCAGTCTTTCCTTAGCCCATTCTAATCTTTTTTTTTTCTGTTAAGGTGTTAATAATGGTTTTCTTTTTCCTTTCCTTTATGTAAATCCCATTTCCTTTGGCCGGTTTCTTACAGTTCGGTCACAGAAGTTGACTCCAGTTTCCTCCCATTCGGTCCTCATTTTTGTTGTGCATTTTCGGTTTTTAAACATTGCTTTAAGTTTTCTGTCTTGACGTTTTAACATCTTCTTTGGTCTACCAGTATGTTTGCCTTTAACAACCTTCACATGTCATTTGTTTTTGGTCCAGAGTTTAGGCACAGCTGACTGTGAACAACCAACATCTTTTGCAACATTGTGTGATGATTTACCCTCTTTGAAGAGATTCATAATCCTCTCCTTTGTTTCAATTGACATATCTCATGTTGGAGCCATGATTCTTGTCTATCCACCTGGTGCAGCAGCTCTCCAAGGTGTGATCACTCCTTTTTAGATGCAGACTAACGAGCAATTGGTCCAATTGGATGCAGGTGTTATTTTGGGGGATGGTAATTTAAAGGGTGATTCTTACTTTTTTTTTTCTCGGAGTTAAGAGATTCAATTTTTTTTTCATCTGCTTGGTCTTAAAAAGTAACCGTGACTGACTACGACATTTTTTAATTGTTTTCTTTTAGTGTTTCTTAAAGCGAGACAGTTGCCATTTAAAATGAATTTAGTTTTGAGTCATGACTATGATCTGCTTTTATTCTACAAAATTAAACAGCTGAATGAACATCCTCTGAGGCCGGTCATTCCATAATTTTTGCTAGGAGTTGTACATATAAACATAAAATATCTGTATGAAATCTGTTAAAGAAAAAATCCTTAGATGTTGTTGTGAAACATCTCTATCAAATGCATAATTCATACAAGCTTTTCCTTAATTATAAAAAAATTATTGCTTAGATGAATGATTTCCCTGAAACGCATTGTATTTCTTCTTTTTGTTCTGTACTCTGGCTTAGTAACATGGAGGAGAGAATCCAGTTACAGGCCTTCTGAATTTTTAATGCGCCTGGAAGATGAACACAGCCGCGCTACAGATGGAGAGAGTACAGGGAGAGCAGTTTGGAGTGTCTAATTTACAGTCACCTTTTTCTAGCTTGCCTGCCTGTCTGGGAATCTACCATTTACTCACTTTTGAAGCATATGGAGTTTGTTTTTTTTCTATAATTTGTAAATTTCTATGTGCAAGTGTGTTTTTTGAACTGGATCTAAAATTTGGATTGTTTTACTCTCAGCTGGAATTGTGTGGTGGCTTGACACCAATAGCAGAGCGAAGTGCACGGCCTTCGACCGATGACACCGACAGCCACACTCAGATCAGCCTGCTAGCTGAGGCCAATTTCAACTGCACAACTTGGAACACCGACGTTAGCAGCTTTAGTCAGCCGTGTTGCACGGTATGTCACACAAACCTGTCTGTCTCTCTAGCTAATCGTCTAAAGCGCTAGTTGTTGCAAAACTGTCAAAATTACCATATTTAAACTGCATAATTTGTTTGCTGTATTTCAGCAAATGCCATCTTGTTTTTTTATTCATAATGGAAAACTTTCAGAATTCAGTAAATGAGATTTCACTACAAGCTTTGCACTCAGTTGGAAGCATCTTATGAGTGACACTTACAGGTAACAATAGAGAATCATGCAGAACTGCTCATTATCATGCAAACCTGAAATTCTGTGGGTAGCCATTTTAGCTCTTCTGAAGCCGGTTACCATGTCAGCCTCTGTTCTCTTCATTCCGTTTAAGCTTGTGGAGTTCACCTCCGGCTGTATCGGTGTCACAGCATCAGGTATAGAGAAAGTGCTCGCTGTCAAAGGCATTAATTGTCACCTTGGCTTGATCCTGCTCAGCCAAGGTTTTGTAGTTGCTGTTGCTTAATTGCCAACAATTTCCTGTCTCTGAAAAGAGCTTATTACTCTTCAACAAGGACATGAAGGTCTAGCTCAGTGCCTTTTACACAATGTTCTCATCAAAATCACCCTGATTCCAAAGGTTTAGGACTTTATTTTTGCTTTTACTTTCTGTCAAACTTTAAAGATCTCCATTTTCTCTTTTTTTCTTTTAGAAGTGTATGCAGAAATGTGACAAGGCTACCTGTGTCAATGGCTTTCAATTTGTATTTACTCCAGAAAAAAACCTTCACTATAATAATGCTTCATCACTTTAGGAGAGGGTACACTTGAGAGGGAAGAACAAATAAACAAGGTTGGAAAAATATGAAATATTTTTTTATGTTTGATGTAGCCGGTTTTCTGAAAGGTTTAGGGATAGTTGTTTATGAAATGTTTTCCACAACATACAGTATGACTAGATGTGTTATTGGAAAATGGGTTTGCATATTATAAACTTCAAACTATTTGTTTAACTGATAGTTGGGGTCTAAACTACTGCAGATTTGTAGTCATACAGCAACTATAGTGTTTCAGAATGGTTTGAAACTAAAATGCATTACTTGTGTAACTGTACATCTAATTTACAATATATACCATGATTAGAAGATTTCAAAATACTGTTGAAAAAACTGAACTTCTAATAAGAAAATTAGATTTTAACATGTAGTAATCTGTGAAGAATGAGTAATTCATGGTTGGCTAGTTTATTTAATTTTCTCTTTGCAGGCTTTTTAGTGCCTTTTATTCTTCTGTTTTGTTTTTTGGTCTTTTATAAACATGCATGTCATATTTTTTTTCTGTCCGTTTTACTTTGATTTTATTATGTTTATCTGCTGCCTTAATCTTGTTGTTTCTGATGGTCTAAATTTGTTTGCAGGGCCAGACAATCTTTTTCCATCCTCTGTCATTGTACTCATGCCTCCTTTGTGGCCACAATGATGGCAGAAATTCTTGTGTGTTAATTTGCACCAGACTTTCAGAACTGCTAAAGGGAACTTTTAATTTGATCCTGCAGTTGAGTTTCATGCATGGAAAATCTCTTTGCACGTGCTAAATGTTTACATTTGTATATTTTCCCCTGTAATTTTGGACATTTCGATCATTAGAGTATCATCTGCACATTGAAGAAATGCACACTTTAAAAGGTTCGCTGCAAAAGTTCTTCCACATGGCGACACTATTTTAAGGTTGAGTGGAGGTTTTTGAGGACCAAATGCAGAGATGAGGGGGCAGAGATGAGTTTGCAGATTTAATCGAAGAATCCCACAGGCAACTGAAGGAAAGTCCAAAAAACACAAAATACTGAAAACCACAAATCTAGCAAACCACAGGGAAAAACACACATGGGTAGCAAAGAGACAATGAAGTAACAAAACAACAAGAAACCAGTTATGAGGAACTGCAGTGGTGGTGTGTATATGGGGAACAGAACAAAGGATGGGCTAATAAGACTAAGACTAAGACTCATCTTTATTTATCCCTTGGGATTATTCCTTCAGGGCAATTCTGGAAATGATGAATGATATAATCATTATTTGTGATAATAATAATAAGCTGATATGGAGCAGGTGTGAATAGAACTAACCAGATGGGAGCCAAGGGGAAAGGAAACAGGCATAAGGGGGCAAAATAGAGTAACTCCATAAAACAAACTGACAAAACTGACAGAAAGCAACTACAGAGAAACGAAATTACAAAGAGACTATAAACCAAAAAAGAGGGCAGAACCCCAACACACTATTTTGAAGGCGTCTACCAAAGGAACAAGGCAAGTTTATCTATTTAGAACATTTCAGTACAGAACAACTCAAAATGATCTACATGAGGATAAAAGAAATATGCAGAAAATATTCTAACTCCATTAGCTTTGTATGGATTTATTACCGTTTTAGTTTACAGGTTTCCAAAAGGATGTAATATATGCAACCTGCCTCAACAGCAATATTAAAATGGATGATTTTCCAAAAGGTTGATTTACTTCATCACAGCCCTCTAATAACACCTGTAAACACAATTTAAAGAGCAATGACTCCTACCACATGTTGCATAAGTATAGAGGAACAAGTGTTCTCATGGTGCCTGCTTTTTCTCCTGAATTTCTCCTCTGACGTCTTATACAAGAGTAGAAATTGATAAGTGCCTTTTCAAAACACGTTTTCTTAAAGTATCATGTGGAGCTTGTTTTTTTATACAACCCACAAGCTGCAGCTAAAAAGTTCCTAGGAGTTATTTTGTATTATTTAGCAATAATGGCAGTAATTATACAGTAGTTTCAGCCATCATAGCTGGGATATATTTGCTTCCCTGTGTCACTATGCTGAGAAACATGAATCACTTTTTTTTTATTCAGTCCCTATGCCTCATCTCAGGATGAGCTGTTGTTTGCTAAACCCAACACATTAGAGACTGAAGAGCTGACATCATCTTTTGTTTCTCCCTACATTTACAGCCCAAAGAGTGACCCTTGTATTTGTTGCTTTGTTTTATCATGAGCTTCAAAATGTTTCAATGTTAAATATAATACAATACTTGCTTGTTTTTTTTTTTTCAGCATTTAAGAAAATCATTTGACTTTATGTTTATGGCAACATAGACTTCACCGTCACACTCAAACTTATTCGGCCTCCCATAATTTTATTACACCACAAATTGCAAAAGTATTCCTGATTTTTTCCCCCCACAATTTGTAAAATGATTTATTTTATTTTAGATGTTTTATACTACACTGACATAAAGAAGTGTTTAATTGTGATGTGGAGGGTAGATTATGAATAGTTTTCTGTTACTTTTGTTCTTAAAAAGCAGGTAGACCAAACCTGAGCTTAGAGCCTCAGGTCTCTGGCTCTATGTTTTATGGTCATTGTTCTGCTGGGAAGTGAATCTCCACCCCAGTGTTTAGGCTTTTCCAGCCTCTAATAGGTTTTCCTTCAGAGCTGGACTGCACTTAGCGTCATGCATCTTCCCTTTAACTATTACCAGTTTTATCATCCCTGATGGAGACATGTAAACTTATCATGTGTTCATGATATGTGAAGTTTATACCTTAGGAATAGGTTTTTTTATTGAGAGCAAAATATTTCATTAGATCAGCATTTACTTCCCCATGTATTTTCCAACCTTTAAATATGATTTCACATGAAAGTTTTATTAATATCACTTTTTTCTTGACACTTGTCTACCATAAGGGTCACTTTTGTGGCCTTCAAATCCATTAGTTCTCCTGTCAGTAGATTCATCCAGCTGAGTTGCTGATCTTTGAAGCTCCTTTGGACTTTGGAGATTCTTGGCTGCTTTTCAAATTAATGCTTCCTTGCCAAGCCTGTCAGTTTGAGTCATGCACACCATGTGTTGGTTGGTTTGCATAATCTTTCCATTGTCAGATGATGGATTGAACAGTTCTCCAAGAGACAAAGCTTGGGACATTGTTTTATATTCTAAACCTGCTTTAAACTTTCCCAAACATGTCCTATCCTGTCTGTTGTGTTAGACGACCTTCATGATGCTGATTTTTCTCTAGTGTTCTCCAACAAAACCTTCATAGAACCCCTGGATTTACACTGGGCTTATGTTACCCAAGATTTTTCGTTTTTTTGTTTTTGTCTGTCCGATGCCAATTGTTTGCACTGAATACAAATGAATATTCTATTCCTTCAGATTTTTATATGTGAAGAATTTTGAAAATAGATTTTTTTTCTTGCACTTTGCAATTATGTGCTATTTTGCCTTTCATATAAAATCCTAAAAGATTTAATTGTAAGCTACCAAACCTCAAAAGATACAAGAGGAATGAATTAGGGCTTTGAAGAAAATATAGTTTGTTGTCTTTCTTTTTTTTTTTTTTGGTGAAGTCCTTTTTTCGGGACCTCGGCTATATTTCCTACAGTACCATTATTTTTTATCCATTATCCATTCATTGTTAATGATTATGAAAATATATTATGCAGAGAACAGAAGAAGAAAAAATTGCTCAACTGAGCAGAGTCTAAAAGTAATTTGATCAGAAAACTGGGATAAATCTATTTGTTTCCCAAGCTTTCAGCTAAAAACTGTTTCTTTCCATATTTGTAACAGATTATCTCAAAGAAATGGAAATAAATTGTTATTTAATGAAAGTATGTCAATTGCAAAGCTATGTGTGTCTCATAAGCCTCCTGAAAAAGAGTTTTTATATTTTGTAATGACACAACCCTAGTTTATCTTTTGAGTTTAGCAGCCTTTCTTCTCTAAAACATTCATAGATCAGAGCCAAGCTGCTTATCAAAGAAAAAAACATTACTTTCTCAAAAAGGGGTCAGACACTAGACCAAAAATCAGTGAGTAGGTAAAACTTGAGTGAAAAACTTTGAAAGCTAAAAGAAGTATCGATCGAGACACGCTTGAAAGCTTACAATAAATTCTGGTTACTTAGAAGAAAATTACAGAGACAGTGGCATATCTATGCTCTACGTTTATGCCTGTATCACAATTCATAAAACACTCACCCCACTGTCATGTTCTCACTCCCTCCTTCACACCCCTCTTGTCTTTCTCTTAGGAAAACCAGCTGCGTTATCGCTGCAGCGCTATGGAAGATGATAGTAGGCAGCAAGCCCCACCTCTGCCCCCTCGCACAAGCTTTGAGAGGACAATCACTGTAGTCCGGGGCAACCGTAGCCTTGGTATGTTCTCCATCTTTCTCATGGTGATGGTGTCCTGGTGTGTGTACATTGCAGGCATGGCCTTGATGACACTAATTGGAGGTGGTGATGACGACTGCCCTGAAGAGGAGTGGTGACGTGGTGTGTTCGTCAAACCTGAGAGGGGAGATGAATTCTGTGTGGGGGCAGTATGTGTGTGTTTGGAAAAATATATATTTGGGAGGTTAAATTAATTTGTAACGTTATGAATAATGTGCAATGGTTTTCAAAGCACACCCCTGTCAGAATCCTACCATTTGTGATGTAAAAAATATGACCATGATCATTGTTTTCAAAAATTGCTCTGAGGGAAAATATATAATTTGTCTCACAAAAGACACAATACCTATTTGCATAAGTGTGCATATCCCTAACAAATGTATCTTCTGATTAAACACAGCATTGGGTTATCTTTAGTTCATACCCACCATTCATTATATTGAATCTAAATAATTTGAAACCAGGTTCTGTTGTCTTAGTAGGCTTATTAGGTCGAAGACATAGCTGGCAGAGAGTTTTCAAAGGATCAGACTGCACAGAGGTATTAGTCAGGAGAAGGTTACAAAATGTTCTGCTTTCATATAAATGTCTATTCAAAAAGCTAGTCAAGGAGGCAACTAAGAGATTTTTGTTGCCTACATGTAACAACAAATTTTGGCAAAATGATGAAGTAGGGTTAAGAGACAGGGAAACAACAAGGCCTTGCTAAAGAGCACAGACCAAAAAGAACATCTAAATTTAAAAGAGCACCACACCCAAGCATCTGTTGGAAACTGATGGGTTTTAGCATGCTTAGGACAGTTAAGCAATTTCCAAAATCAACAAAGGTTTTGCATCGTACTATAAGAAGAAATTAAGCAAACTCAAGCTTTCTAATGTCCAAACCAGAGTCCACAACTAAATTATAAAAATTCTGAACAGGAATAGGGCTGTGGCAAACACATGTCCTCAAAATTTTAAAGATCTGAAGAAGTTTTGCTGTGTGGTTAGGGGCAGATAGTGACAATAATGCTAGATCAGGATGTGGGATGATTACAGATTACCTCAAAACAGACATGCTAAAATTAAATAAAAAATTTGTTTGAAAATGTATCACTTTAAGAGTATGCACACATATGCAAGTTTATCACACTTTTTCGCTCATCCCTTTTCCCTCTATTACACAGGATAAGGATCTGCTAACATGTAGAAAACGATTTGATTTTTTTTACACCACAAAAACCTAGCCTTTTAACAGAGGTGTTTAGTTTTTTTTAAAACCAATGTAGCTTTGATTTTCACTTGAGCAATGGATTAGTTTTATGAAGGTGTTGATCTATTACTTATTTTCATTTTCTATCTTAACACAGTAGGGAAATAGGAGAGTTGAAGCAAATCGTGTACTTTCATTTAAAGTTCCTATGCAAAGCAAAAGAAAACCAACTCATTTGTATTCGTAATGCATGTGCTGATAAGGCAATAGACTACCTACGTCTGTGTTTGCTTGAGAGAGAGCGAGGGGTTGAAATTATGTAAATGTTTGTGGTAGAGAAAATCAAGGTCACAAAAGCAGTACACTGTGCCTCTCATATGTTGTGATTGTTTTGATCCCGTTCCTGATGTACTTAATGATGCAGGAAATGTGTGTGTATGTGTATATATATATATATATATATATATATATATATATGTATATATATATATATATATATAGACATTCACCTACGATATACCTACATCGTAGACATGCAAGTAACAATTTCCTTTATACATATACATAGATGGCTCTGAAATTGTCTTCATAGGTGCATGCTCATTGTGAGAGACATAATCTAAAAAAAATCCAGAAATTGCAATATATAGTTTTTTAACTATTTATTTGTATGATACAGCTCCAAATAAGTATATGAACACCTCTCTATCAGCTAGAATTCTGATCCTCAAAGACCTGTTTGTCTCCCTTTAAAATGTTATTATCCTACGGTAAATTGGGTGCACCTGTTTGAGGCTGTTAGCTGTGTAAAAACACCTGTCCACCCCCCAAAAAAAGTAAGAATCTAACTAATAACATGGCCAAGGCCGAAGAGCTGACCAAAGACACTAGAGCCAAAATTGTACACCTCCACAAGGCTGGAAAGGGCTACAGGAAAACTGCCAAGCAATTTGGTGAAAAAAGGTCCACCTTTGGAGCAATCATAAAATGGAAGAAGCAAAACATTACTGTCAATCTCCCTCAGACTGGGACTCCATGCAAGATTTTACCTCATGGGGTCTCAATGATCCTAAGTAATTTAAGAAATTAGCCCAGAACTACACGGGAGGAGCTGGTCAATGATCTTAAAAGAGCTGGGACCACCATTTCAATGGTTACTGTTGGTAATACACTAAGACGTCATGGTTTAAAATCATGCATGGTATGGAAGGTTTCCCTGCTTAAACCAGCACATGTCAAGCCCGGTCTTAAGTTTGCCAATGACCATTTGATCAACCTCCTTCCCTTAATTAGAGCATTGAAGATGGGTGGAGGCTGGGTCTCCAACATGACAATGACCCAAAGCACACAGCCAGGATAACATAGGAGTGGCTCCTAAAGAAGCATATCAAGGTTCTGCCGTGGCCTAACCAGTCTCCAGACCTAAATCCAAAAGACAGTCTTTGGAGGGAGCTCAGACTCTTTTCGGCAACAGCCTAGTAACCTGACTAATCTAGTGAAGATCTGTGTGGAGGGGTGGGCCAAAATCCCTCTTGCAGTGTGTGCAAACCTGGTGAATAACTATAGGAAACTTTTAACCTCTACAATTGCAAACAAAAGCTACTGTACCTAATATTAACATTGATTTTCTCAGGTGTTCAAATACTTATTATGCAGCTTATATATATATATATATATATATATATATATATATATATATATATATATATATATATATATATATATATCAACATAATGTGTGTGTGTGTGTTTATATGGATTATCATGGTGTGGAAAGCAAAGGTTTGGGCATCCTATATCCTATATATTTACAGTATTAGTTTTATTGTAGTTTAACATTTCTGCTACACTTTATTACAAATGGTGGGACAAATTGCATACAAACAAAGTTCTTATCTTCAAGGGATTCATGTACTGAGACTATGATGTGGAACAGCAAACACTTTTCTTAAAATTACACATGAAATAAGTTTTTATCAAAGTGCTGAAACCAATGAGTCTATAAGACTGAACATTAAGCCAACGTTTGGGAGGGATTCAACGTAAAGCTTAGAGCAATAAACTACTAGCAAGATCTCATACTGGATCAAAAGTTTAGCAAAGATTATGTGTTTTATTAATATAGACTGCGATACCACATTAGAGGCTTTTATTTACCCCAACAGTGTGTCATTATCTAGCGCACAACCAGTATTTACAGTCAACTCTGTAAATACAAAAGGGCAGTTCTAGGACTATCTTTTGCCACTTTAGCATGTTCTGATTATGAAGATCTGGAAAACAACACAATGTGTTTAGAGGTAGCCTTAGACATGTAGTAGAACTTTATATTGTAATCTGGGACTAGATCTTGCTCCTGTGAAATCATGTTGTCTTGCTAAAAGTTATTGTATAATTCTCTTAGATCGCAGGATTTTTGTCCAGTCTGGGTCTTGCCCAAATTAGGATGCAAGAAAGGTTTTCTTCAAATTAGGGTTAAGAAGTGAGTGCTTGGTTATTTAAGTCTGAATACTCCTGCAAGTCTTTGCAATTCAATGTCAATTGTCCTTCCAGTCCCATGAGCTGTTCTCTCAGCAAGATTGCTTGGTTTAATGCCACTTGTCATTCTTAAGAGAGGAAAATAGCTTTTGCAAATATCAAACAGTCTCTCTTGCCCTACTCATTTTAATGGCATCAAGTATTCTAATTCCCACCATAACATGTAGTTCCTTATAGGAGGCCAATGTCAATGATGAATAAAAGGAGGTTTATACTGCCTAATGCTGGATTTGAATCAACAAGCATTTCTTTGTTGTAACTACAAGGAAGCCATGACCCTAAAGTCTCTAAAAATTTTCTGGTGATTCATGAAAACAACAGAAACACAACCTAACCTTTAGACCTGAGTCTTTGTGAGTATTAGAGCTTGAGAGAGCTGGTCTTTATATTTAATTGGGTACACGGTCTCTATAAAACTAGTTCTATTCCTTGAACCTTTTCATATTTTGCCACTTTAAAGCCAAATTCCAAGTACTTTATCTGGATGTTATGTGATAGAGATCACACAGTTGCCATTTATATTGGAAAGAAAAAGGCTCTTACCACAGAGTTTAACAGCATTTAGTTTGTAGATTTTGAATGAGCAGCTTTGCATGTGTTTTTAGGGCCACTGCTGGCAGGTGAAGCTCCTCCCCAGGTCCCTCTTAAAGAATTTCCTGTATTTGGTTTCATCAAATCTGACCATTAAAGCTTCCTCACAACATAATGCATCCTTTATCATGATCTAGGGTTAGTATTGTGTGTGTTTGTGTTTGAGGATTGCATACTAGCCAAAACATTTAATTCGGCTCTCATTTCTCTCTCATTTTCTTTCATAATTTTTTTTTTTTTTTGTTAAATTTAGTTTTGCATCCTGAAAATAGAAACTAATGTGGGTTTTTGTTTTGGTTATGGTTAATTTTTGCCATTCTTTTGGACCAGGTCACTCTTCTGTTGCGTCCAAACTCATTTGTGAATGTCTTTAAAAATGTCAAGGGGTCGTAACACTTTTGCAAGTTAGGTTAAGCACTTTATGGTATGCTCTTTGCTAAATTGGATCTTTACAACTCTTTAAAAATTAATTTATTCTGTGAATTGTCTTATGATGATTTGAAACTTGTTTAGCCCCTTAAATTCTGGACATATTAAAGAAAAAAACTAAGTATGCTCGTCTTTTTTGAAGACAAGCATACTTTCACTTAAAAAAAATCAACTGTAAGAGAAATGCACAAACCTTTGCTGGTCATATTAGTACAGATAAAGTCAATATTCATTTAAATTCAATTAAGTTTATTTACAATTAAAAGCTTTTTGAGATAAGCATACATTTTCACTTAAAAAAAATTAACTGTAAGAGAAATGCCCAAACCTTTGCTGGTCATATTAGTACAGATTAAGCTGATATTCAATTCAGTTTATTTATATAGCGCTTATTCACAACATATGTCATCTCAAGACACTTTACAATTCAACCAGATCTTACAGTCGAATTGATTCAAAGTTTTCTATTTAAGGAAAACCAGTTGATTGCATCGACTCATCAATCGACTGATTGATCCATTGTTATTTGAACAAATCATGTTACAATAATTCAATTCTACCTTCTACTTTTTTCAAAGTGTAACTCTATCCATCACTATGTTAAAGTCCAGTTTTGGTAACATAAAATAAATTGTATCGTTTTTAAAGGAAAAAGGTTTGACAAACAACAACAAAAATCTTCAGTATTTTTGTTCTTTCCTCGCGTATATGAGCTACACCTAAACTAAAAAGTTCAAAATCTTTATCAAATAACTGTTGTAAAGCTTTGCCGTTTGATTTTTCTGAGCTATTCATATGTAGAGTTAAGTTTAAATGCTTTCACATGGGAAATTTCTAATTTAGCTTACGTTTTTAAAAGTTTGTCAATCACAATTTTGTGACCCATTCACAATTACAACTGCTGATTTCCTGGCTTTGGGTTACACGTTGACACAATCAACTCTTGGGCATAGTGCTGTCCAAAAAGGAAAGCTTTTTAGCTTAACTTTGAGATTTCCAGAAGCCATGAAATATATTTTAATTTTAACCTTGTTACTGTACAACCAAGATGTTTCAAACTTAAAATGATAAAAAAGAGCAACCTTGCTGAAGTATTTTGCTGTCATCAGATGAAACCTTTGCTCTCTCTTGATCTCCTAGAGCTTGAAAAAAAAATGCAGCTGTCTTGATATGTCTTAACACTGTAGTTGTTCTCTTTATGTCTTTGCTAGAGTAGCAAACAACTAGTTAGCTAACGTTGAATTTCCTATCCTCGGCCAAAGAGGAAAGCATTGTTTTAGATATAATAGCCCTTAGGTAGGGTGTGCTCAGTCATCAGAAAGCAGAATGATTTTTCATTTTTGATAGAGGTATAAAAAAACACCACATTTTGTTCACCTGCTACTATTTGTTTTTTGTGCATCTCACTTAATTATGATTCAAATCTTTTTGTGTGTGTCTGCAATGTATTTGATACAGTGTTGTATTTCAGCATATACTGAACACTTTATTTATTTGGAGTTATATCTTTGAAATATGTCTTAGGTTTGCCCTGTAAGTAGCAGTGGCTTTGTCTCCACATTATTGTACTCCATGCACTATGATTGTATTGCAATTTGAATGTAATACCAAAAAAAGCAATAAAATATTTATTCAAGTAAAAATAAGCACAAAGTCATTTTTTTGACCAATTTCAAATTTTGTACGACCATAGTGTTGTGGATGTGCTTTGTTAGTAGTTAGCAGTGTTGTACACCAGCGCCTTAAACCGGCCTTTTAAAGCCCTCCCTCTCAGCAGCATGCACATGCGTGTGCATGAGGTGTGCACCTGTGTGTGTGTGTGCTGATTTACCTATTTCAGCCAGTTTGCATTAATGAAGTGTTAGTGTAATCCAACTAGTGTGCAACATGGTAATGCCAAAGTTGGGTGTTTGTGCGAATGGCATCTGTCACCCCTCCAGTCACCTGTGCCTTCTGGCCTCTGTGTGAGTGTTTTAATGCATCTTATGTGAGTGTGAAGAATGATACCGTGCTTTGCTAATCTGCCTCGTGTCTGTCTAGATTATGCTGATCATTGCAGTAGTGAGGTGTTTGTTTGAGCAAATGTCTGTTTGGCATGCGGTCAAAGCAGTCTTAGCCTACCCTCTATTCACCCATGCTTCTGTGTGCTTCTGTGTGATGCGCTTGTGCGCCTGTTGGCAGGGATGTCGGTGAGTGCTATCAAGGACGGCACAGGCATTCTGGTCCGGAGCGTGGTCCAGGGGGGCTCTGTTTGCCAGGATGGCAGGCTGGGGGTGGGGGATATCATCTTGGCCATAAATGGAGAACCTGCCTCAAATCTGACCAGCGCCCAGGCCAGGGCCATGCTCCGCAGACACTCTGTCATAGGGCCAGAGATGAGGTGAGAAGCATCTTTTGCCTACACTATTGGACAGATCTGTGCAGAGTAAAGCCATCTGTTTAGAAAAGATAAGACAAAAAAAAAAAATCACAAGTCGTAAAATATTCTGAAAATCTCCAATATTTTATATAAAAAAAACAAATGTATCCTTTCACTGGGCCTACCTTTGTACATCTAAGGTATACCAAATCACTTTTTGCTCTGCATTTATGTTTGTCTTTTTTTATGCTTGTTTTGACTAGGACATCAAATGGTCAGAATTATTTAATGATATTAGAGATTTATGAAAACAAACAGTATTAATACTTTTTAAAAATGGTCTTACAACCATTATATTTCCATATGTAAGGTAAGTTAAGCTCTCTTCGGATTGAAGTTATGTTTTTTTTTTTGTGTGTTTTTGAAGGGGGGGTATTTAGTACTCTACATATGATTAGATAGTAGCTACAAAAACATTTGTCAGTGTGTTTGATTCAGGAATTATAGCACAAAACTGAGCAAATGTTCTCCCTCCAGTAAATCCATCTGATGCGTTGAGCTGCACTGTAAGTGTGGAATTGAAAAGCAACTGTAGTGGAGCTCCAAAAATGTGCACACTGCTGTTGACATTTAGGGCTTTTGATATTGAACTGAGACCATGACAAATTGTTTCCAAACCTTTTTAGGTCTTAGTGTCACATGAATCCGGTACAGTTCAATTTAAAATGAAGTTCAATAAAAAAACAAAAAAAAAAAACAAAACAACAACTTTGTAATAGAAAAGTGTAAAAGTGTAAAATTAAGGTGTTGCAATGGACTAGCAAGACTTAAGAACTAAACCTGGCATAAAGTCTGAAGAGGGTTGTGAACAATAGATGTACTCGCAATATAAAGATTTTCAAAGGTAGTTTGAACAAATGTTATCTTACCTTTTCATATTTATATTGAATATTATAGATGAAATGTCTAAAAAAGGTAAAAAAAAGTTATAAAACAATTATGGTCTTATATTTTTACCTCTAGAAGTTGGTTAAAATAACAACAACAAAAAATCTTTGATATCCCAATATTTTTGAATAAAAACGTTTCTTACCGTATATTATATTTTAGACGATCAGGCATATTAGGCTAATTCTTTCATAAGAATTTCTTCTAAATTCTCCAAACTGAGATCCATCAAACTTCTGTCTGCTTCAAGTGAAACTCTTTTTAATATTACACAACCTAACAAGGAATAAAAATGAAACATCCTTTTGAGCCCTCACAAATGTTTGAAAATAAATAATTAATCAGGTCAAAACAACTATTAACCCATTTATCTCAGAGTTACTGGCACCACTTAGTGATTTTTGGACATTCTGTGTGGAGACACATCCAAAGTGGTCTGCAGCCAGTTATCTATTGTCATAAATCAAACATGTTTAAAGGAATTAAAAGTTTTAAGGGAACAAAAGCACATTGAGCAAATGGCTTTAGAAGCTCTGCAATTTGAATGAGAACTTAAAGTAATTGTATAATTGTCTTGATTATGTACAGAATGAATTACTGCATCATTATAGGCAAATAATCAATTTCAATTCGTCTGTTTCTGCAGTCATATCTCACTGAGGCACTACAGTCATGTTCGGTTTAAATTCTGAAATTTTTTAAGATTGCTGGACGACAAAATCTGGCTGCATTATCACTTGTTCCAACATCAGCAATTATGGCTCCACATTGAGAAAGCTTGTTTGGTTGATTGGGGATGTGCTCCACCTTTAATATCCCTCTGCCCTGCTAAACACCCACTCACATTCTCACTATGTGTCTCTTCTGTCTTGTGCTTTTAAAGATACACACTCTGCACTCACAAGCAGTCACCCCCACACATACAGTACACACGCTCTGGCATGTGGACACATACACACAAAGGCATTTAGTGTCCTAACCTCCAAAATCGCATTTTTTTTCCTGCTATGGAAAATATTTCTGAATAATTCATCACTCATCTCACCTTGAACAGTGTACTTCTGAACAAAGGAGTGTTTTAAAGAGTCTCTCATAGATGTACTGCACTCTGAATACACACACTGATGAACACAGGTGTGTTTTTTCCCTTTTCTTCCTCCACATACTCACACAACACTCAAGTCCACACAAACATGCTCTCTGTGCCTCCTTCTGACAGCACTTCAGACAATCTAAAAGCAAGTGGAGGCAGCTGAGTTGCTTTGGCAGCCACGGAGTGAGGAACGCAAAAGGATGAGGGCTTGTCACTATCAAACTGCGTCTTTTGAGACAAGACAAGCTGTCCACATGATTCAGTCACAACAACTTCACATGAAAATGTATGGATTCAAAACACCTTCCTAATTTAAAGGACTCTAAGAGTTAAACTTAACTTTAGCATCTTGTTCTTTGAGTGGTCTAATACCAATGTTTGATAGCAGAAGAGAACAATAAGCTGCAAGGAAGATATTTTATTGATACAATGACTTAAATATATTCATGTTTATCATTCTAAAAACAAAAAAACCTCTCTTTGTGCAGAAATGCACCTTTAAGAGAAACATTTCTTTAGGAAGATGGTAAAATTAGACTGAGAAAAACAAATATTCCATTACAATGCCTTGTAAAAGCATTTCTTGACCTTGAACATTTTCACACAATGTCATGTTACAGACTGTAACTTTAATGTAAATAAGTACTTCAATTCAATTCAGTGTATTTATATAGCAGCAATTCACAACACGTGTCATCTCAAGGCACTTTACAGAGACAATTCAACCAGATCACACAGTCAGATTGGTTAAACGTTTTCTGTCTAAGGAAAACCAGTTTATTGCATCGACTAATTAACTCGAAAGCAATCCCTCACACCAGGCATGGTTGTAGCGAAAGTGGAGAGAAAAACTCCCTTTAACAGGAAGAATCCTCCAGCAGAACCAGGCTCGGTGTGAGCGGCCATCTGCCAAGGCTGACTAGGGTTCAAGGAGACAGAATATATATATAAAAAATATATATATATAATATATATATATATATATATATATATATATATATATATAATGTGTGTGTGTGTATATTTGTGTGTAATGTGTTTATATTCCATATATTATATAAAATCAATAAATGCAGAGATGATTTGTAATCAGAACCATTTACTGTATTTACTGTACATGCAGTCCAGCCTGGGAAATTGCTTTTCGAGGCTACATGTTAAGTAGAATAAATAGCGCTTACCTTTCAATGATTTGATCTAGTTCAAATCCCTTGTTCTTTGAAGCTGAAGGCCTTAGATGTTTTTTAGACGTTTTGTCAACAAACATAATTTTGAAGATAAAGGAACAGAGCAGAGAAAGTTAAATGCAAAGAGACTAAATGCAGGTTTGAACCATCAGACTGATCAAACAGATTTATTGCAGAACTCTAAATCCATGACAATATTGACGACATGACAATATTGCTGTCCCCCTAAAATGACAGACAGGGCGAGGATTAATTAGAAAATATTCTAGAGCTGCATGCTCGCTCTGGAGGAGCTTTACAGATGCTTTTCCTACTGAAGAAGGCTGGCTCTGTTTAGAGGACTCCTTTCAAACCTCCGGAGATGATTATTTTTCATCTCTCTGTCCAAAAAGCATGACTGTTAGGTTTGGTCAATTATGTCTTCTCAAACAGTCCTTGGGTATGAAATTGTGCATGTGCTTTGTTGTTTTCCCTGCGTGTTGTCATGTAATGGACTGGAGACCTGTCCAGGGTGCAACCTGTCTCCCAATGAATGCTGGGAAAATTCAATAAGCCCCCTGTGACGCTGCAGCGATGCATGGTTACAGATAATGAATGGATGGAGTTTGGTTCCTTTTTAAAATAATTGACATGAAATACTGTACAAGCAAAATACATTATATAAAGTGATAAAGTGTGGAAAAACTATAAGAATGTTTAAAATGAAATATCGATATTTTCTTGAGGACAATTATTGCATACGGTGCAGAGGCTGTTGTGAATTTTAGGATTTACAGGTATTTTAAGTGACAAATTGTTAAATTAATGTGACTCCTGTGGAAGTGTTTTGAGGATGCATCACACAAATATTCATGTTTCTTTACCTTTACAAAACAATTGTTATGTTTTCGAGAAATAAAAACACAGACTTGTTCTGTTATCCTGCCCAAATGGAAACATCAGAACATTGCTCGTTTTCAGAGACGCTGCATCTGTCAGAAAAGTTAGAACCTTGCAACTGAATGCTAATCAGAGCACGTCTGACACAGCATGCCATTTAGCTTTCAGTACAGACCTGTAATTAAATCTCAAACTGACAACTGAAATGCTGTTGCTAGTGCTTTTCTTAGTATGCACAGTGAAAACACCTTTGGACGGTCCAGTAAATGGCAGTCTTTTGGACATTTTTATTAAATGTTCAGACAATACTTGGTAAACTTTTTTGCCTACTTTTATTGTACAACCTCAACATTCAATGTATTTTAATAGGATGAGACCAACACCAAGGGGCACATAATTGCGAAGTAAAAAGCTTAATGACACCTACTGCTTAATAAAGCTACAAGAAAACTTTCTTCAAATTTTTCATATTCCATGTAGGGGTTAGCAAACAGTATGAAGCTACTCTGGTCAAATGAGACCAAAACAGACTGTCTTTGGTCAACATCTTGTTTTTATTATTATTTTTTGTTTCCACAAAACTACTACTGTACTGCACATCACTCTGAACACATCACCCTCAGGGTGAAACATGCTAAGTGCAGCATCACGTTGTGGGTATGCTTTCCTTTGCTAGTCAGAGGGTAAGCCATCAGATAAATGGAAAGAAGGATGGAGCTATATATAGGGTTATCCTGCAATAAAACCTATTGGAGGCCATAAAAGACTGTAAACCGAGATGGAAATGTATTTATACCTGAACCACAAATGCATTGAAATGTGTAGTAGCAAAATGTCCTATTAAAAACTATTGAAGAAGCGTGAATACTTCCACAAGGCCCAGTATTTTAAATGAAAAATGTTCCAAAGAACATCAACTGAAACTGCTACCTTATGAGTCTATATCTGTCTAGACTGTTAATATGAAACCTTACAGCAGTATGGGAAAAAAAGTTAAAACCTAACAGTGCATGAGCGTCCTTCTCTTTGTTCAAGCACCATGTAAAAAATACATTATACTTTCGAGAAATCAAACCAACACTAAAAAAATACTTTGGTTTATATACACTTTAGTCTCACACATGTACAGAATCAGATTGTTGTGTATTAAAAGTACCTAACCACTGAACAAATTTGTTCAGATGTGTCATGAAATTATTTTTTTATTTTGGAAATAAGGGGAGATCTAGTGAGATTTTTGAAGTGATATGTATGCAAATGTAGTGCAAAGGATAACTATCAAAAAGCACCATTTGTTCAGATTATTGTAAAAATTAAAAAATATCATGAAGATATAATACAATAATATTAACAGAAATAAATCACATTTAAAATATTTGATTTTATCCATCTTAAATCTCAAAAATTTACTTTGCTCAAAGAGCCAGAATAGGAGTGGGTTTTGATCTCACAACCTCAAGGTTCTCAGCCCTGTGCACTAACCACTAGGGCACCACTCCTCAGTTAAGAGAAAAGGAAAAAACTTTATATGTAAATGTAATACATATGTAAAATGTAAAAAATATGTCATAGCAATTTTTTTTTTTATTTGTTTTTTTATTAAGATTGTCAGCATTCAGGTTAATTAAAAGATATATTGATTTATTTGTGGAATTACTTTTTTAACTAAAGTACCATTGAGATGACTAAGATAAAAAATCTCAACCCTGCTTTCAGGATAACCTACGTTCCAGCTCATCAGGTGGATGAGTACCGAACACGTTTATGTTTGCCCCCTCTGGCGTCCATCTCAACAGGCAGTCCATCTTCTTCGCCCACCCTTCCTGCTTCGTCTCCTGAGCCTGCGTCAGGCCCAGTCAGATCCTTCAGTCCCACGGCTTCATCAGCGCTCAGATTGTCTTCCATCGTCAAATATAAAACAACGGCTCCGGATCTACCTGCAGTCAGGGCCACGGCTTCATTCAAAGCTTTTAAAGACGCTGCACTAGTCCCCGTCATCACCCCAGCGTCAGACTCAAGGTAATGTAAGACAGAGAGAGATCCCAGCTTTTTAATTATGGCCAGTCAATCCTTCCTAAAGCTCCAGAGTACAGAGCCAGAAGAATTTCATATACTCAGGATTACACTCCTTCATTCACCATTAACTACCTAGACACCTGGTAGCTTATTTGGTAGCTTTTTAATTTTTATTTCATTTTTTTTTTTTATCCACGCAGGATTTAAATAAATAAAAGTGCAACTGAGCACATGGGTTTCTTCTGCATAGGATTAATATTATTTCTGTTTTCTTGTTTTTTGTTCTTTTTTTCACTTGGAAAGGTATTACAATATGTGTACATTAGGGATGTCCTGATCTGGGCTCAGACATTTGGTTTGAGTCCTGATAAACAGGGATTTTTTTTAATCAGGTTTTGTACAAACAGATATGCAGCCAAAGCCTTAGCGTTAATTATAATCCTGTTGTATAATATTGCTATCACTCGCCTAAAATATGTTATTGTAAATCTCCAATGTGAGATTTATAGGTGTGTAAAGGTGAGACAACAAAGAGTCCCATAAATTGGCACTTTTTAATCAGGTTTATTTTCAGTTTAATTTAACAGGTATGTTATTAGACCCTGATGGCTAAAGAGAAATTTAATATAGAGGCTTTCTTGCTGTAAGGCGATGATGCAGACTAAAGCGTTCTGTTGTGTTCTGTGGTACAGCAATTTGAGATGTTGCTCTAAAAAATAAATGTGAAGGCATTAGTTGTTATATACTTCATGAATTGTACAATATCAAACATCTTGTCTGCCACGTGATTCTTACAATAGGAGCATTAATCTTAACATCACCACTGACAAATTGACTCAATGCAGCTGCTTCACCACAGATATAGAGTTATGTTTATGACTATTTATTATTTGAATTGGCCAATATCCGACACTTGAACTAACTGTATAGAAGAGAAAATGTTGCTGCTGGATGTACCCAGCTTGGTGTTCCAGTCTACGCTCTCCATTCTTCTCTCTGTGTTGAATCCCTGAGTTATATTTAGCTTTTTACTTATGGATCTCAGAGCTGACTGTCAGCAGAAATGAAATGTTTCACTTCAGTCTGTTTCTGTTTTCACTTTTCTCCTCCCTCTCTTCTTCTCTTCCTCTGCAATATTTTCTTCATTCCTATCTATTAATCTCGTTTGTCTGCTTTTTTTCTGTTATGTGCCTGCATCTGTTTTTCATCTCACCCTGAGTCATCTGGGTTTGCTTCCTCATTGTGTCTCTCCTCCCAGTCTGGTTCCCGTCGAGTTCTCCCCGCCGCCTTTTTTCAGTCCAGCTAGAATCATTTGTTCTGCTCTCTTCTGAGCATTAACTGGCTACTGCCTCCTGCTGTGCAGATAGCACTCCTATCACTCACCCCTGGGCTTATTACAACCGTGCACCGTTAAACATATTCATGAAAAAATGCCTTTCTCTTAGTCTTTCTCCCACACTTACACTTGCACGGTGCATTCACTGTCAACAGAGATACTGTATGCATTACACACACCCACACACCTTAAGACACAGCCCTGTTGTAATTGGAAGAAAATAAATATTTTCAGGGCTTTTTGCACATTAATCAGTGTGTTTTCTTAAAATTCAACAATATAATTCACCATCAACCTTCATGACTTAAAAAAATAGTAAATAGGGTTAGCTGCCCCCTTCCCACACTGGGGGTCTGGGGATCTTCTCCTGGGTCTGTGGGCCTGTTCCCCCAAGGGGAAACGGTCCCTAGACCTGGGGAAAATGTGTATGTATGAGGAGTGTAAGAATATGTTTAGTGTCTGACCCTATATGGATCTCCGTTGAGGGCTTATATATGTCTGTATGATTGTAAAGGTGGGATAGTGTGAATTTGTCTGGATGAATGTGAATTTGTCTTTGTCTGCTTGTAAAGTTGAGCATTTGCCTCCCCCCACTTACTGGGGCATCACAGGTCCCAAGTATGAGTAGGGCCTGTTTCCTCCCTCTTCTTATGCTCATTGCTGATGATAGGTGCCCTTGTCTGCTTGCGCACAAATGGTGCTTGAGGTGCGGGGTTGGGTACTTCATTGGGCACTGTCTCAGTCCTAGTGGATGCTGGGCCAGGCACAGAGCTCCTTGTTCATATGAGCTCATTGCTGCAGCCCTCTAGGACCTCTGGGGTCGACCCCACAAGGACTGGGACCTCTTGGGGTTTGGCTATGGGTTCCTTCGTCTGCCCTTTTCTGACTTAGAAAACTTTTACTGTCATTTTTGAAATTTCGTTTTGTACACCTTTTCCATTTTGATGGTGGGCCCTGAAGGGCGAGTCGGGGGCCCCCCACACCTGCTAATAAGCAGTGTTAAGGTATCCATGTTAATATTAGTATAACTGTTTGAAAATGTACTTGTATGATCACTGCATCTCAAATTTTACATAATTGTAAAATTTCTTGGGTAGTGTCCTGCAACATAGATGTTGCAGTAGCAGTCCTGGTATTGGGTCTTTTATCTGACCTTGTATAGGTTTTAAGTATGAAGCCTTGAGGGCAAGACTCTAAAAGACAGAGAAAGAAAGAGAAAGAGTAAATCAGTGATGTACAGTAAAACAAGGAACTTTACTTGGTTCATTATTTCACTATTTTCTGAGAACAATTCTTATGACACAATTGTTGTATTGATTGAAAACTTGCTTCTTTCTCTATCAATGGTACCAATTTTGTTTAGAAAAATGTTTAGCAGTAAAGTTGAGTAAGCAGTTTATCAGTGATTTCATTTTCTTTTTTTAGTTTAAACTGGACTTTTTTTTTTTTACTTGCTTACTCCAAACAATGACTGCAACTTATTTGCTAAACAATATATTATAGGGGCTCAACTGGAGGGCTGTCAAACTCCAGCTCTTAAGGGCTTGATTTATGTAACTTTCAGATGCGTACCTGTTCCAACACATCTGAAACAATTACAATAATTTTCTTCTCATGTATACAGGTTCCACCCTTTCACTCAGGGGTGTTGGTCCAGGAACTCAACTAAAGGTTGCAGGCAAAAGGCTCTCAAGGGCTCAGCCAATACCTCAAACTGGTAAAGACGCTTGTGGACGTGTGTCATGGTGGACGTTCGTCATCAATGGCCATTATAAATCTGAATAGTGCTGGCAGTAAACAAAGGAACTAGGAAGAGGAGGCATTAAACCTCCTATTGCCAATTCAGTTATTAAGGGGCCTCCTTATATTGTTACAGTAGCTACCACCAGGTGCTATGGGGTTACACACAATCCCTTGCTTGACAGGACGCATATAGTGGGCAAAACCCACCAGTCATGCCAAGGACTTCCTTTCCGAATCAGTGGCTACTCAGTTCAATTCAATTTATTTATATGGCATCAATTCACAACATGTCATCTCTAGGCAATTTACAGTGACAAATTAATTAGATCTTAATGTCAGATTAGTTCAAAGTTTTCTAAGGAAAACCAGTTGGTTGCATTGAAACATTGACTCAACAGCAATTCCTCAGAATCCCTCACCCTGTCCACAACTCCATTTGCATGTGCCCACAGACATATAAAGCATATAAAACATGGATATAAAACACCCCACAGTGAGTGAGGACATGTTTCCCACTCAAGCAGCACATCCAGCACCAAACCGTGGTCGGCATGGAGGACGGGTTGTTTCCGCATATGCACTGCAAACATTCAATATGTAAAGAAACACCTCACCAACAAATATTATTTCACATTGGCTGTATAAATTATATTTTTAAATGCGCAATTGACTTAACAGGTTATTGCAAAATTTGTCACAAAATAAAGTGAAAGCTGCAAACTCTCAAGAAATGTGGGCTTAATAGAATGTTTCCTTAAGTCTATTAAGGTAGCTTTGATATTATAATTAATTATTCAAGGGTAGAAAGGTTAAACTCAACAGGACAAATTTATTTACCTGTTAATGTTGCACTTGTGCTCTGAGAAGGATGCTCTGAGGAAGCACCAGGTTCGATCTCCACAGCCTCCTCTCTTGATTTTTTAGGGGAGTGGCGGCCTAGAGGATAGAACATTGTGCTTGAAACCAGAGGTTCTGAGTTCAAGCACCACTCCCACAGACTGCCACTCTGGATCCCTGAGCAAAGACCCTTGACCTCACACTGCTCCCTGGGCACTGCACAATGGCAGCCCATTGCTCCCCAAGGGGATGGCTTTAAAGCAGAGAGTGAATTTAGTTGCTCTGTACTTGTGACATTGTAATCACAATAAAAAGCCTAAAAAAAAATAATAATGCACATAGGATATGGTTCAATCACTTGCGTTTTCTAGTTTCTTTTAAGCATTCTCTCTCCAGCAGCCGGTGTATCAGGTCAATATTCAGTGTTAGAGCTTGTGGGTGTAGGTACGTATACCCTACAGCACCATCAAGGGGACTCGATATAGCTGTGAGGGTGTTTCACAGCAAGTGTACTGTGTATTGAGAGGGAGAGAGTAGCCACTAACTGGGAAAGGCCCCAACTAAACCATGCAACAGGTTTTTTGGTCACAGGTGTCGCTAATGAGATATCTGATTAGCATCCGAGATACCAGAACCTCATAAAGAAGGTACTCCGTCACTGAACCCACAAATGCATTTTCCTCACAATAACACTTCAAAGGGAAGTAAGAGTGCCTCAAACTAATCTAAGCTTCATTGCCAAGAAGTGTTAAAAGCTAAAAAAGAAGTCTAACAGAAATAACAAATTTCCTTTTGCTCCTTTTTCCTTGTTTAGCATTAGCCACCAGGCAACTAGAAGTTACTGTAAGTAGGATTGGTCATGTCGTGTCCTTCACTGAGTGAGGACAAGGACATCTTGAAAAAGCCTTTTTAGTTATGAAGTGCAGAATACAGCTACATTGAAGATGTACTGCTGTTGGGTGGCTGAAAAATATCCCTGCTTTACTCTCCCTGCCTTTAGCTCATGTTTGTGGTGAAGTGTCAAGCATTACATTCGTACTCCCCCAACCCCACCAAATTCATTATTAGTCACTGAATACTCTTTTAATTTTCATATCAAAATTATAATCTCTCTGTTTACCATATTAACCAATTAACAGGTATTGGTGTCATAATGAAGGATCTCTTTCACTCATGTTCTGAACTAGTCTGTTGCAAAGCAAAACTGCTCAGCTGATAGAATTAGGGTGACAGCTAATTATCATAGTATTAACAGAGGTAATGCTTTTTGGAACTCATATTGTTCATAGAATGTCATAATTACTGTTTGAAACCTACTAGTTATAATTTTGAATATCCAATTGACACTTTAGATCACACATGCCTGTCTCTAGACCATCAAGTTCTTACATTTCACTTAAACTCTACAGGAAAAATTTGATTTGTTTTTAAATCTAAATTACACTTTCTTTTCTTCTCAAAGCATTAATAGGATTCAATCAATTTAACCTTTTTTTCTTTGGTGGTACCTTTTCTTACAGTTGGCAGATTCCAAAATCTCTCCAAATACCTCCAAACATCAATGAGAAGGAAAAAGATGGAGACATTTTAAAGGAGAGGGAGGACAAAATAAAAGAAGACATGAGAGTAAAAAATCCAGAAGTGAAAATAAAAGTTGATGGCAAGGAAGAGGACAATGAAGAACTTTGTTCCCACGCAGCCTGGTCTTGGGATAAACCTAGAAGGTTAGTAATTTGCTGTGGTTGGTAGCACTGACTTGATTTTCTTAAACGCATTCCCATGACATTATTCAAGGCTCTACAGTATGTGTTAGAAAAGGTTTACAGAATACATGAGAGCTCAAATTTTGTTCAGTCTTGTTAGAACAGCACAGCAGATCTCCCTTGTACTATATTTTTGAGGATTGGAGAAAATAACTGCAACCCCAGCTTGTGTTTATTGCATTTGTGCCACTAGGATAAATCACATAATATACCAAGCACACTAGAAAATCATCTTTTATATGGCCTCCTGTAAAGAACAATATGTTTTTGTCTCGACTTAATCTCTGGAACATAATCCCCAGTGGTAAGCAGCGGATAGTGGGAAATGGAAATGTGAAAAAAGAGGGATACCAATCAGATTAATTCTGTATTTGCATTTCTTCCAGCGATGTATTGAGTATACCTCTGGTTTCTAGAAGGATTATCAGCCGTTCAGTATCAGTCTCTTGCTTTGTCTTACAGTGTGCAGCTGACTCGAGCACCCAGCCAGTCCCTGGGTATAAGCATTATGGGAGGCAGAGGCATGGGCCGCAGACTGAGCAGTGGAGAGATGATGAGGGGAGTCTTCATCAAGCACATCAGCCCTGACAGCCCTGCAGCACTTAATGGCACCCTCCGGGTTGGAGACAGGATACTGGAGGTTTGTGTGTGTGTACGACCCTGAAATTTTAACATTTTCAGACAAAAAAGCTGAAAGAAATGGGCTCCTTTGAGTATCCAACAGAGTGCTTTGTGTTTTCAATATCACAAGGTGATATATGCAGTCCAAGCACTGTATGTACAACTGGCTGTTGGTTTATATTGCAGTTTGATATGTGAAAATAATCAAAGCCTGTACATTTCTTGTTGTTATGCAACATAGAAATTTGTGATAAAGATATTCCCTTCTTTGTTTTGACTGTTTACCTTTTTAGTTGTTGAACATCACCTTCGATGTGAGAACCCAGGGTTGGAAAAATGCTGAAAAAGATGGTGCTTTTGCTATTGTAATGACTCAGAACAGAGGGACCTAGTATTCAGGGAAGACAGACAGTGGGATAACTTAAACGTTTCTTAAAGCAACTACGGATGGATTGCGGATCTGAAGCAGCAGCAGCTAGGGCGTCCAATGCAGGTAACTCTATTGAGAGGAAACACAGGTTCAGAGAAAAAATCCTGATGGGGGATTGTTTGAACATGTGAGCCGGTCAGCTGAAAAGACTCAGCACTTGACACTTCCAGAGGAGGAAGCCTTGAAACACACAGAACTGACAGGAGATCAGATCCGATCAGATGAAGGAGGAAGGCAGGATAATCAACGTTCAATCCACAGAAGAATCCAACAGAATCTGAAGACAGGTCAGGCAAACAGATCAGAACAGGGCAGGCAGGCTCAAAGGTCCGAAGACAGAAACGGGTCAGGATCAGACAATCAGAACTCTATTAGTAACGCTAGAAAAACTTTCACCAAAGGCTAAGAATAATCTGGCACTGATGGCTGGGACCAATCAGTTTAAGAAGAAGCAGGAGCATGTGGATTAGATGAGTAGTGATGAGAAAATGGTCAGAGTTTGACAGGAGAATTGAATGAGTGATTAAGCCAGCCATCAGTGCCAAGATCATGACAACTATGGCAAAATTAACTGATAAATATTTCCAATTGTGATATATTCATTCAGTTGGATGAAGTCACTATATGCAAAAAAAAATATTACAAACATATTCATGTCTTGTTTATAACTTTTTTTGCATTTTACCACAACCGTTTCAAGGGTCATTCAGTTGGATCAACAGTATCATTCTGTGATAATTTGTTTTTCACCAGTGAATGCCTGATAGGGGGTGTGAAGAACTTTAAAGGGAAGATAACTACCTGTAAATCTGTTTACAATTTCTGAAATACTTGCTTTTCAACCCACTTCCCAATTATGACCTAATCTGTGTTGGTCTAATTAATCAAACCCTAATAAAATTGAATGTTTATTGTTTATTGAAACTCTAAACAAAATTTAAGATAGATTCACACTCAAAAACAAGGGTAGCATTGGAAACTGAATTTTTAAAGGTTTATATATATATCCATTGTATTAACTTCTGTCAAAACTTCCACAAGACATCTGTCACACAAGGATATATGTGAAAGCCCCAGAGGTGGAGGTTTTCCCCAAAGGAATTTTTGGACTATATAATCAGTCTGGCTCATGTGTGCTGTTTTTATATTCATGACCAGCAAGAGAACACATCAGTGCACACCCTGTTGGGCAAGAGCATGTTGTATCAAATCAGCCAGTCTAGTGCCATTCATCAATCAGGAATTACAGGCTGGAAGCACGTAACATATTCACAGGCATATACGCCAATTTATGTAAATACATATCAAACATGCTAGACAAAAATAGTACGATATTTGTAGGTAAATCATGTGCAAACTTTCTTGGAGTTAACGTACTAGAGAAACTAGTTAGAGCTTCTTGGGATGAAAAGGTGTATAGAAAAGGTTTAAAATTGTGCCCTACTGATGAAGGGCAAGTTCCTCAAGTACTTGAACTGTGGTTGTCATATGGATGTTTTTTTCATTCTTTGTAGAGGAATTCTTTGTGTTTAAGTCCAGTTCCCAATTAAACTTAGAGTTTTTGATAATGTAAGTTAATTACTTATCACAAAACAGGCTTAAATTGAAGGAAATTATTATTTCCTCAGGTTTTCTGAAGACATTTTGACACCTATGCAGAATCCTTTAGTCAGAAGACTCATGACTTCTGAAGATGTTTTTAGGTGTCGAAAAAGGTGTCTTGTCCGGTATCCTCAGATTTAAGCCTGATTTTTAGTTGCTGTAACCTTGATGACTGAGAATTTAAAAAGGCCTGTAAATTACTCCTGTGTTTTTTTTTTTAAATAAAATACTAATCTAGTTTGTTTGTGTTTTGGCCTTGGCCAAGGTGAGTGGTGTGGACCTGAGAGATGCCAGCCATGAACAGGCAGTAGAAGCCATTCGCAGGACAGGAGACACTGTGGATCTTCTGGTTCAGTCTGGACTACATAGAGCACAGGTACCACTACTCAGAAACATTTAGACATCACTTTGAATAAGTCAATACATAAATACATTGGTATTACACCAAACCTTGATACAAGCATCAAATAATATTGTTTCTTACACTGGGACAGTCCAACAATATATATCTGATTACCTGAATTCATAATGTCAGGTAATGCTAGGTAATGGTAAAATTAGAGGATGTTTTGCTGAGAATTGAATCGATGTTTGATTTATATACTAAAGGCAAGGATTTTATCTGACTACTCTGCTTTTTCTACTGTATTTCTCCCACAGTCTCCCAATGTCATCAGTTGTGAAAGACTATCTCCAACACGGCTGTCCAACTCTCACAATAAAGTAAGGCTGTTCTATCTTTCCAAGCATCTCTTCTCATGCAAAATTATGTGCAAAGCTCAAGAAGAACAGATTAACATTGCAGAGTTATGGGCAGTTTTTGATATCAAATATCAAGCAAGGAATCCGGACTGTTGGTAGATCTAACATATTTTTTAGGGAGTTTCAAAGACCTTGACCTCTCTGTGCATGTGTTGGTTTTCTTTGGGTGCTCCAAGTTCCTCCCATAGTTGAGAAATATGATTGTTTTATTAACCGGGCTGCATAAACTGACTATAGGTGTGTGTGTGTGTTTGGGTGTGTGTGTTTCCTTTGTGACTCTCTGATTAAGCTTGTGTAGATGGAAAAATGAGATTGTGCATGCCTCATTGTAAAACTCGTTTTTTGCACACTCCACTCACAAGTAACACAGGGAAAATGTGCAAAAACAATGAAATAATTTTTATTGCAGTAGAATAAAAATAATGGTTTCCTGTCATATCAACATGATGTGACACAAAGGCCAATTTGTTAAATGTGAAATACAAGGAAAAATCCATTTTGAATAAGGGACGTGAAAATTAACCCTTGTGCAGGTCAGGAAAGATACAGAATAATGGCTTCTCATCTAAATGTGTGAAGCTAGAGAAATAATCCTTGCAGTGCTAAAAGCCAGGTGGTTGATTTGTTTGGTATTTCTCTTTAGTGCTATCACAGTAAACATAAATTTTGTATGTTTGCTCATGTTATGCAACTTAATTGCTGTTGTGACTTTTGTTATTTAATCAAACAACTTTTAGACTGTCATTTGTTGTTCTGTGATGACTGACCTAAAAAAAATACATGTATATATATATATAATATATATATATATACCGTATATATATATATATATATATATATATATATATATATATATATATATATATATATATATATAAAACAACCCAAAAAGAGATTAGATTTTTACACATTTACCAAGGCTGCCAGCATACTATGAGGGTGCCGTGTCTGATGTTTTAGGTTTTTTTTTATTCCAAAAGTTATAATGAAATTTCTAACATTCAAAAATGTCACATCAGATTTTCCAGGTTTTGCCATAATTCAGAGATGTGACTAGAGCTGTATGCATTAGTGAATGCCAAACCATGCTTTGATATAAAGCACAATTTAAGACAAGCAAAATAATAGGGTATTTTTTAAATACAATCGTAACACTGCCCTGCAGAGGTAAAAAACAGGAACTGCAGAAAGCCTTGAAACTCATCCGCTTAAATCGAATATCTACTCCCACACAGTAAGTGATGTGTAGCTGGGTTTTTTCCCAGCGTATAGTGTGATAAGCACTATACTATGTATAGAGTGATGAGTCATAAACACCTACACAGAAATCCTAAATGATTATTTTTTTGTGTAAGACTTGTGTAGCAATGCGTACAGCTAAGTCTGTGTTTCCCCAACATGATCTTAGGAGACAGGGACTCTCAGCAGTCGGTTCCTTAGTCTATCTCCTGCAAACCCCTTCACTCCCACCCCCTTTAAGGTTGGTACATTGTTTGGTGTTAGTGTGTATGTGTGTCTTTTTCTGCAGCATCTTAAAAGGAACCTTGCATTTGCATCAAACCAAATTGCAAAAAAAAAAAAGTAATTAACGTGCACACATGTAAATAGAACCCCTATAGTTCAAAGTCCCTCACAGCTACCTTGTTTGCTAAAAATTCTTTATTTTTCCTTTGATGCAGATGCATAACTCTAAATAGACAGCACATTCTTTTGAAGTTATCTTCCAATGTACTTGTCTTGTACAAAATAATGCATGATTCTTCTGGCCATCTTTCATGTTATTTATAGCTGGCATTAAAAACTTTGTTCATTAATTCATCTTGTTCACCAGCGTTTCCCCCTGCTTTATGAAGCACACGGAACAAGCCTCAGGGGTCATTCAGCTCATGCCTGAAGGCCCCCTAAGGCATCTCCAACTCTGCCTTTTCAATAATGCAAAAACTTTTCCCCAAGGCCCCGTCGCCAACATCCGATAGAATGGATCGAAGAAGCCCCATAAATGTCACAACAGCAGCAAATGCAGCAGCTGAGGACGGAGATGACACCAGCAGGAGTAAGTGTGCATCATAAAGACGTCATGTAGACATAAATAGACATGCTTTCAAAAGCATGTCGGAGTAGTACCTCTAACCTCTTGAATCTCAGGAGAGAACAAGTTCATGCTGATACATTAACTTGCTTTACATCACTCAAACTTTTTATTGTGGGTTTACATTTTTGAGATTTTATATGAAAGACCAACACAAAATAGAAAATACTGAAGTTAAAAAAACAAAAAAACAAGGTTTAGATTTAGAAAAAACTTCATTGTTATTTTGTATACACAGAGTGTATACAAAAGGAAATTCTGTTTAAAGAGCTTTCTGACAGTGAATGAGCAGCAGTGAAAAAGATCATTTCCATTGGTGAAGTGCAGCAGTGATCAAATGTAAACAGTGTGGGAGAGACATGGTTCAAAAAAGGCACTCAAGTTAAAGGTTCAGAGCAGTGCAATAATAAATAAATAGATATGGTGCAAAATGCATTAGAAACACTGAGCTGAGTTCGTTTTTGAAGATTTACCGTGTAGTGAAAGTATGATGTTGTTAGTCTGATGCAGAGTCTTAATTTGTGAGTTTATGTAGTTTATCAACAGTTCAACATACTGATGGCAGCGGGGGAAAAGCTGTTACAGAACCTGTTTGTTCTGCATGGAATGCTGCGAAGCCTCTTCCCAGAGGGCAGCAGGGAGAACAGTCCATGGTGGGGGTGGGAGGGGTTTCTGAACATGTAACGAACTCTGGGCAAGCAGCTATGGGATAAAATGTATTTTTATATTTCTGTTTTTTAATATAAAACAGAAAATGTTTTCTTAAACCCTATTAAAATAGCAGAGTTTAGAGAGTTTACTGGTGTGTAAGTGTTTAAATATATTTGATGAATAACTTACAATGATGAGAATTATGTTTTATTATGAACATGAAAAACTCGAATTCAGCTCCAATTAATTATTTTAGCAAGTTTGAAAAAAATAACATACTTGAAAATGTTACTTTATTGGTTCAACTGATATCCCATTTTGTCTATAAAAGCATCAAATCATATGAATATATTTGATGATGTGATTTAATGTGAATAGTTAGCATTTTTTAAGTGTTTATTGTTGCATTAAGTAAACAGAGTACTAAAAACCTTGATCTGATTTCCCACTAGCTTTTGTTTTTAATCTAATTTATGTTTGTGGTACTGAAGTGAAAAGTTTATTATTATGGAAATATTTGGACAAAAAGTTTCTATACTAAATTTTACTGTATGGGATCTCATCCAAATGCAAACTTATAAAAACACGACTCTGGAGGAGCTGCACAGATCCGAAACTTAGGATGGAGAATAACTGAACTTCTACACAAATCTCTACTTCCTGAAACAGTGATGAGAGATATTGATTATAAAGAAGGCAGTAAGATGTCCTGCTTCAAGTTTGCCTCAAGGCAATGCAAGAAATTAGGGAAATCAGTTATTTGCCAAAAAAGCTCACTGCACATTAGCCAAAACACACTACACCCACCCTTAAATATGATAGCTCTACAAGCTTAATGTTACCTAACATAATCTGAGAAAGTTCAAGGGATAGGGATGCTTTTGTAAGGCTGTACTTTTAAAACTCTTATGCAATAAATTGAAAGGGTTTGGAAGAGAAATTGAAATATTTTTCTTGACATTTACATCTGAAACCAGCTTGCTAGAGCAAGGCTCTGGCTGATTAGTGTTTGCTGCTTTAGTGGAATTCAAATGAATGTTATGACCTGGACCTATCCCAGCAGCTGCCTTGATCCTTCCTTAAATAAAAGGTTGTAACCCCGGCTCACAAGCAGCATTCTAGCAGGCACTGCATTCATGAAGTGGCCTTTGGTTATGAAATATGAGACCTTTTGATTTTTTTTTTCAATCTAATTAACTAGATTGATGAGGGAGGGAAGAGTATAAAATGTTGCTCATGCTAGCTAGCTTCTACTGTGGACAATACTGTATGTTTCATTTCATTTTACCTTAGTGGTGACTTGATTTTTGTTACAGGGATCCAGTTCATCGTTTGTTTACATCAAATTTTAGAAAAAGGGCTGAAAGATAAATTATATTAACTTGAAGCACTAGAAAAGTGTATGACTTCTTTTCCCCCCAGTTTTTTCATGTGTCTATAATAAACATACCTGCATGTATTATCTTGCTCTTTACTTTTAAATACTGACTTTAAACAGTTAGATAAGTTAACAAGTGTAAGATAGTTTATTGGAAAGAGTAATGTGTATTCCATGCTCCAAAAACAACTATAACTCAGAATCTTATGCATCTTTAGAGACAATAATTCTTACTCACCCTCCAAGCAAAATGTTTGCAAAAGGTTCAAATAAGTTTATCTGTTGTTGCAAAAGCATAATGTATTGTTGACATTTTTGTCAATATTCAACCTTCAAATTAATCAGTTTTGTCCAAAATGCCACACATTTTGGAACCCTGGCTTTTAGTAGTTTGTAGAACTTCATTTTTTCAGTAGGATAGAGTTTAGTATTTCCTGATAATGTTTTACAAAGATGGATTACAGAGGGAGGATGCTTGAAACATGCCTTCTTTAGATTATCCAAGCTCCTGACACCACAGCATTGTTCTCCTCTTTTGAGCCAACCCTATAGGTTTAATAAAATATTTAGGTCAGGGGGCAGAGAGTAGTAGTAGAGCATCCATGAAAGTTTGATGTGTGTCTGTCGAACCATTTCTAAAATGATTAAGCCTCATAATCTGGATTGTTATTCTGTTTGAAGACCCAATAACAACTCATTTTCAGTTTGGTCTGTCCGACAGATTTGTATTTATGATTTACTAATATTTCAAGAACATTTAAAGTTCCTATGGCTTCTTTAGAAGTTAAAAACCCTTCAATCCAAGATGCATTGTCATATTTATTAGTTCCCATGTGGGCCTGAGTCATGTCCAATTAGACTTTAGCTAACCCCATTATCTGTATATCCAAGAAGGTTAAAAAAATAACTACTGGACATGTTTTCAGAGATTAAGACAATCCTCTCTTTGTCCTAAGAACTTTTTAAGTTTAAAGCTATTGAGGAATAAGTTCTAAAGTTTTAAGAGGGACACTCTGTGCATTTGAATTCATATGCAGACAGTGTGTTCCAGATGTACTTCTATCCTCTGAAGAGAAAAGTTTCACCTGAAACAACCCAGATTTATGGAATTTCGAGCCAGGAAGTCAGGACATCACAACCATACCTGACTTTTCATGCCAGATAGCTGCTGCAAAATTTAACAGCAGTAAAAACATTCTTTGGCAGTTTTAATTAGTTCATCTTTTAACTATAAGTCAGAACTTTAACTCCAGAACTTTGACATTCCTTGCTGAAATATATTGTTTGAAAGAATGTTACTTTAAACTCTACCAGTGTATAAAATATTTTTAGTAAATGTTCAGTGTAGTGGCCAATGGCAATGATTTTTTCGCAGGTTTTTATTCCCAGGGCACTTTTATCAAGGTTGATTTTGTTAAAAAAAAATATTTTTTTCCATTGCTTATTAGATTAAAAAGAAGATCCTATGAGAGATTTTTCAATGGTAATAAGTGATTATTTATTTTTAAGGCTTTTTAGATAAGATAACCAGAGAGGCCAATAACTGCAGGCAGCTCTTTAATTTATGTAAAAAAAAAAAAAAAAACTTTACTTTGAAACTTTAAGATAACCTTGAATTTTAATTGGAAGATCTCCTCTAAGTAAGTAAGCAAAGGTACATGCAGGAACTTAAGAACTACGAATTTTAACTCAAACAAACAAACAAACAAACAAACAAACAGAAAAACATAATTAAGTGATACATTTTAGAAGTACAGCTCCTGTTCGAACAAACACACATGTTGTGCTTCTATGTTTGATTGGGACTTTTCATTGACCTCCATTCATTTCTATGGTCTAACTCACACCCTTACTCCAACTCTAACCATTACCAACATATACCAAACCCCAACCTTTACTAAATTCATACTCTAGACCTCAACCTAACCTCAAACCAATGAAAATAACTTTTCCCCATGGAGACCAGTTGAATGGTCCCCACAAGTACCAGTAAACCTCCACAATGTAGCATTTTTAACTGAAATTGGCCTTTCGTCGCCCCCACAAAGTAACAAAATAAGTCCGCACACACATACACATGCAAACACAGCACAATTACATTATATTCACGCCGTGTACTGACATCCCTGACATCATCCTCCCAGCGAACAACAAGATATATTCCTTGTAGACAAAGTGCATGAAAATATACACACACATGTATACACAGTATCCTCCAGGCTGCACTGGTTCTCCACATGTCTCCAAGTGTCAGTCATTAGACGTAGTTGGCCATATTTTTTGGCTGAGCCATTATATTCTCCTCCTAACAACCATCCTGTTTGTTAACATTGTCTCCCCGGTAGAGAAGATGCTCCAGCGCTATGGCAGCCTGTCAGGAAAGCTTCATCTGATTGAATTGGAGAAGGACCCTGCAGCCCATGGTTTGGGAATTAGACTCGCAGGCAACGACGAGGGCTCCAGGGCGCGAATGAGTGTCTGTGTGGAAGCAATAGACCCCCGAGGCCCCGCTGGTTTAGATGGGAGAATACAGGTTGGGGATGAGCTACTGGAGGTAAGATCCATAGAAATATGACTAACATTTAGCTGAGATTTTCAGTCACATAGGGTGCAATTATTAGAAACTAGAAGTGGAGGCTAAAAAAATGCTTATTTGATTTGGAGAGACTGCCTTGTGTAAAGTTTCTGCTTATTTCACAGGTTTAGAGTTATTTAAAGAAGTATTCAGCACTGTTGGAATCTAAAAAGATTTAAAAAAAATTAAGACCTCAGTAAAATTA